CATATGATCCAATAGTCCCACTACTATTTATCCAAAAGAAAGAAATTCAGTATATCAAAGGGATACCAGGATCCCCATGTTTATTGCAGCACTATTCACAATAACCAAAATACAGAATCAACCTAAATGTTCATCAATAGATGATTGTGGTTGATGAGTAAAGAAAATGTGATGTATGTACACAGTGGAATACTATTTAGCCGTAAAAAAAGAATAAAATCATGCAATTTACAGCAACATGGATGAAAACATTAAGTGACATTAAGTGAAATAATTCAGGCACAGAAAAATAACTATTGTATGTTCTCACTCATGTGGAAGCTAAAACTTAAAAAAACATTTTTGGAAGTAGAGAGTAGAACTGTGGATAACAGAGGCTAAGAAAGGTAAGGGGGAGTGGAAGATGGGGAGAGGTTGTTTAATGGATACAAAATGATAGATGGGGGAATGAATTCTAGTGTTCTTCTGCATTGTAGGGTGAATATGGTTAACTTTTCTTTTCTTTTTTTTTTTTTTTTTTTTTTGAGACGGAGTCTCACTCTGTCACTCAATCTGGAGTGCAGTGATGCAATCTCAGCTCACTGCAACCTTTGCCTCTGGGGCTCAAGCCATTCTCCTGCCTCAGCCTCCCTAGTAGCTAGGATTACAGGTGCGTATCACCACACCTGGTTTGGTTAACTAATAGTTTTAAAAAGCTAGAGGAGTGGATTTTCAAAGTTCACAGCACAAAGAAATGGTAAATGTTTGAGGTGATGGATATGTTAATTAGTCTGATTTGACCATTATACATTGTTTACACATATCAAAATATCACTGTGTATACTATAAATACATACAGTTATACAAGTCCACAAAAAATAAAAGGAAGCCAGGTGTGGTGTCACAGGCCTGTGATCTCAGCTACTTGGAAGACTGAGGCAGGAAGAATTCCTGAGCCATGGTGGTCAAGGCCAGCCTGGGCAACATAGCAAGACACCATGTCTAAAAAAAAATACATAAATTAAAATAAAAGCAGAATCATTCACCCTATACATAGACTATGGGTGAAACTTAATGGCTTGCTTCTAATGAACAGAATGTGTTAAAAGTGATAACACCATGTGGCTTCCAACATTAGGTTAGAAGAGGCTCTCTACCACAGACTGCTCGCCTTGGAACCCAGCCCTCCTATTGTGGGGAAACTTAGCAACAAAGAGACCCTAGGAGTTCCAGTGCAGAATATTTGGGTATCCTGCCCCAACTAAAGTTCCAACCAATAGCCACCGTAAGTAACAGACATCTTAGTGAACAAATCTTCAGATGATTCTAGTCCCTCAGCCTTTGATTTATCCCAAGTGAAGCTGAAGGGAGCAGAGGCAAGCTGTCCTGGCCAAGGTTTTCCCAAACCACAGATTGGTGAACTAAGCAAATGTTCTAAGCCACTCAAATTCGGGTAATTTGAGTGGAAAAAATAACCAGAAAAATAAATTTAAACAAGGAGACAATAAGCAATAGAGTAACAGACCCAGTAGAAATTAGTCTCCTTTAAAGTAAGAGCTAACAAATGTTGAGGTTAGTTTATTAATGACAACTCTAATGGGAAGCAGTGGAACTTTTCTAATTGTATGAACTAGAAAAGCCAATTTATATGATAAATATACATAATTTATATGATAAACTTCCTCCTCAGTAGTTCTTATGTCTTTCTATGAGACATAAGAGAAAGACATAAGAACTACTGAGGAGGAAGTTTAGAAAAAGTTCCTATTGATTACAAATTCCGATGACTAAGCCAGTGAGGCTTTTAGAATTTGTCCCGAGTTATGAAATAAGGAAGATGAGGAAGAAAGAAGATACATAATTTGAAGTATAAAGTTGAAAAAACTAGAAATATTTGATTAATAACCAAAAATCAGACATTGTACCTGATTTCCAGGAACTGAAATTCTAAAAGTGATAAGCAGCTTTGCATATTTATTCATCAATCTAGGATTCAATCTTCGTTTTCATTTCCTCAATGAGGAAATTTTAAAAATTATGGAATCAGTTTTAACAATCTCAAAAGTAAAACAAATGTAGTGTCCTTTGAGTGTTAAGCTATTCAATGCAATTTCCCCTTTACCTCATTTGTATGGAGAAGGGAAGAGCAGCTCATCTTTATGTTGTACCAAAATGCTTCTCCAGATCATATAAATTGGCTCCGAAATTTTGAAATTCATACAACCAACTAATTCAACTCTTTGTTTCTGATAAATGCCTGGACATTACCTGATTTCCAGCTGCTGCCCTCCTGGAAGTTGTTCTTTGAATAGGTTGAAGTATTTGTTCAATGAATTATGTATTGAGCTAGAAAAGCATAGCTATACACATCTCCATTTAAGCAAAAGGAGGTAAATGCAGGGAACTCTGAGAATGTAGGATCTGCGCCAAAAAAAGGATTCAGCCCTGGGGTTGTATAAGAGAACCAGGTGCTGGGTCAAAAGAGGATCTGACTGTGAACTGCAACATGATAAATAAGCTCAGTTTCCAATGAGGAAAGATGACAGCCCAGACTTAATCTTGAGCTTCATAGATAGTTCAAATCCACACATGACTCCATGACTTATAACGAGCTAATAAAACATAATGCAACAAATAGTAGACTCAGTCAGCAGATCCTGTGGCCAAGATTTGATGGAAATGGAAGTGAAGAGAGAGGCACTGAGTAAGAGACAAAAGGTGTGACTGGAGAAAAACAATTAATGGGATCTGCCTTTGTAAGCCTGACTCTCATCATGTCATGGAGTCAGCAAGGCATAAGCTGGCCATACACTCCTTCAAGAAGCAAAAACTGAAATTAAGGACATTCTACTACTTGAATTTCTATTCTTACATAAGACAACTCGTATTAAGCAACAGGACTGAAAATGAATTCTCCTAAAATGTGATTCAGTACTGGCTCAACATATTATACTTGAGAATCCAAAAACAAATCGATATTTTTATGGTCAACTGATTTCCAACAAGGGTATAAAAAAAGTAAATGAGAGATGAATAGATTTTTCAACAAATGGTGCTGGGACAACTGTATATCCATGTGCAAAAGAATAAAGGTGGATTTCCACCAAATGTCATATATAAAAGTAACAAAATAGAATCACTGAATGTAAGAACTAAAATTATAAAATTCCTAGGAGAACATATAACCATAGATCTTTGTGACTGCAGAAAAATAGATTAACTGGACTTCATCAAAATGCGAAACTTCTGTGCTTGAACGGAGACCATTAAGAAAGTGAAAAGGAGGCTGGGCATGGTGGCTTACACCCGTAATCCCAACATTTTGGGAGGCCGAGGTGGGAGGATTGCTTGAGCTCAGGAGTTCAAGATCAGCCTGGGCAACATAGGGAGACCTTCTCTCTACAACTTAAAATTATATACATTTTAAAAACATAATAAATCATAAGAAAGAAAGTAAAAAGGAAAGCCATTGAAAATATTTGGAAACAATATATCTGATAAGGGACTTACACCTAGAGTATATAAAGAACTCTTAAAATTCAGAAATTTAAGATAACCCAATTTTAGAGTGGGCAAATGATTTGAATAGACATTTCCCAAAGAAGATATACAAATGGCTCATAAGCACATAAAAAGAGGCTTAAAGTCATTCATCATTAGGGAAATGCGAATCAAAACCACAATGACATGATTCCACTTTATACGTCTGGGTTGGGATCCTTTTTCAATCAAAAATATGAAAAATGTGGGGAAAGATGTGGAGAAGTTAGAACCCTCATACAATGCTGATGAGAATGTAAAACAGTGCAACCACTTTGAAAAGCAGACTGTCAGCTCCTTAAAAAGCTTAAGCATAGTATTCTATATGACCCAGAAATTCAACTCCTAAGTATATACCCAAGAGAAGAACACATACGCAAACACAAAAACTTGTACATAAAAGTTCACAGCAGCATGATTAATAGCCAAAACATGGAAACAACCCAAAGGTCCATCAACTGACAAATGGCTAAATAAAATGAGTGGCATGTCCATACAGTGGAACAATACTCAGCAGAAAGATGAAATTAAGTACTGATACATGTTACAACACAATGAACCTTTAAAATGTTATGCTAAGTAGACGAAGCCAGTCACAAACCACCACCACATATTGTGTGATCCAGTTGATATGTGGTGTCCAGAATGGGCTAATCTATGGAAACAAAATAGATTGCTGGTTCTTTTCAGGATCATGAAAATGTCCTACAATTGATGATGGCGATGCTTAGGCAATTCTGTGACTATACTAAGAGACCATGAATTGTACATGTTCAATGGGTAAACTGTGTGGTATAAGAGTTTTGTCTCAGTAAAGTTTTTTTTTTTAAATTCAGTGGTAGGATCTAGATATATCTCTTAATTCTCTACTTTGGATGTACATACTATAGGTGATTTGTAAAAAAGCACAATATATTTAAAATGAAAGGAAAATGAAGGAAGTGCCTAACATTTCAAGTAGTTTTTAAATTAAAACATTTGCATTTTGGAGAACAGTACTATGGCCTTTCTGTACAAGTTATCCTGAAATTCATGAAATAAATATACACAGATTCTGTACCCATTTACAAAAGTAAAGATAAGAAATAAGACAATTTCTGAAACATTCTATTAAACATTATCCTATGATTTAATCTGGCTTGCATAACCATGGCAATAGAGAAATCAGTAAAAAATGCTTCACAGAAAAAAAAATTATTAGTATTCCTCTCAATTTCTGTGAGGAATACTAATAATTCCCAACTTTCCTAAGGATCTTTGGAAATGATCCTTATTTAAAAATGTATGTACTTATCAGGAGAAAAGGACAGAATGAAAGCCAGAGGTTAAGAAACAAGTGCATTATAAAGATAATAAAATTATAAAACAAATTATAATAAAAATACAAAAGAAAGCTATCCACTTCAATTAGCATCCTAAAACATTTGACACTATTTTGCCATCTAGAGATTAACTGTAGACATGTTAGGTTTCATACATACTTCACTGCTAATTTGACCCGATTTCTTCTTTGAATCCTGTGTCTCATCTAAATTAAATGATGTAGCCTCTGCTGTAGGTTGTTGTTTTAGGGGATCAGTCCATTCTAGTTGGATTTGTCTCATAACTACCTGTGAAAGTATTTTGGTTACTGATTTTATAAATCGCCTTATTATTAAATTATGGTAGTAAGATTTAACTCTAACATATACACTTTGAAAAACATCAACACATATATGGATTCACCTTTTCCTCGTGTGCACACATTCTTATTTATCACTGAATTCAGTTAGGGACACAGAAGGTGCTATCTTTCTGCCAAATCAGTTTTCCGTTAGACAACAGATTCAGCCCACTGTTCACTCATCCCTGAAACATCTGCAATGCTTAACAACCTACTGAAGTCTCAAAAAGAAGTCAGTATGTGGGTGGGGCTGCTGGTGGTACATCCCACACTGTGAAATGTTTTCCCTCTTTTTTATTAGAAGCTCCAATCAGCTTCAGAGTTCCCTGTATATTCAGTTGCCTGCTCAGATCCTTCCAAAAGATTCCTATCTCAGAATACAAGTAAAATTCCAATGGCCTTTGTGGCCCTGGGTAACATGGCCTTTACCTCCCTCCTGACCTCAGCTTCTACAAGGGTCTCCCCTACTCAATCCATTCTCGCTATATGTGAAACCTGCCACCTCTCATTAGTTTAAAAATGGGGACTCAATGCCAAACAAATCACAGATAAACACAGTTACCATTGTACTGGTCAAAGTTATATCCGAATCACAGGCAGCGAGCCTTGAAATGAAAATTATGAGCAAATTGTTTGTAAAAACATTCAAAGTAAATTGTAAATACCAGTGGTAAGATTAAATCTAACATAGCTTTGCTGAAATTCACACCTGCTTTAAAGAATTGGGAGGTCATAATAAGTAATTTGAGTCTGAAATCATCTCAGATTTAGGTCAAATTGATATGAATAAAAATAAAATTATACCTCAGAATCCATTTTCTTTTGAGCCATTTCTAGCTCCTGTTGTTTACTGGTCAGAATCTGATCTTGTAATATTCTGGCATTCTGTTTTTCGGAAATTGCTGCTGGGCATCGTTTCGCTGCTGCTCGACCTAGAGATAACATGGAGATGTTTGTCTAACAACACTGAAAAAAAAGACTAAAAGGTTAATTAAGAGCAGAGGCTCTCTTGGCTGAGCATGGTGGCTCACGCCTGTAATCCCAGCACTTTGGGAGGCTGAGGCAGGCAGATCAAGGGGTCAGGAGATGGAGACCATCCTGGCCAACATGGTGCAACCCCGTCTCTACTAAAAATACAAAAATTAGGCATGGTGGCGCTGTAGTCCCAGCTACTTGGGAGGCTGAAGCAGGAGAATCGCTTGAGCCCAGGAGGCGGAGGTTGCAGTGAGCTGAGATCACACCACTGCACTGCAGCCTGGATAACAGAGTGAGACTCCGTCTAAAAAAAGAAAAGAAAAAAGAAAAAAAGAGCTAGAGCCTCTCTTATAAAATGGTTAAAAGAAAGCAGCCTGTTAAAACACAAGAACTTTTATCCCTCAAGAATCACTCAAATCTTAATTGTATACATGACAGTTAAATTTGTCAAAGAGGAAAAACAGTTCTTAAATATGGGAAGATACAGCATTATAAAATAAAATTTCTTTCAATACATTTAACTAGTGTCATTATAGTTTCAAAGCTATTTAGCCTATATTTTAACATAAAAATGTATAAACTTATTTAGTGATTAAAAAATCCTGTCTTTACTAAAAATACAAAAATTAGCTGGGCATGGTGGCTTGCACCTGTAATCCCAGCTACTTGGGAGGCTGAGGCATGAGAATCACTTAAACCTGGGAGGTGGAGGTTGCAGTGAGCCGAGAGAATGCCACTGCACTCCAGCTTGGATGACAGAGTAAGACTCTGTCTCAAAAAAAGAAAAAGAAAAGATGTCTGTCATAAGCTTGCCTTAGGTATTCACTTCATTCCCAACCATTCACATCTTACACGATTTGCACTAGCAAAACTGGACTGCTCCTAAACCCTGCGAAGTTCATTCAAGCATCTGAGCTCCTTCTGCCAAACACACAATCTTGTTAGATGTTCCTTCTGCCCACATCATCCTTCTGCCTCTTTACCTAGAAAAGCTCTACTTACTCTGCATGCTTACCTTAAATCCTACCCACTGTTTTACAGCTTTCATTCCTCACCACATAAAGTGCTGGCACATATTTAACACAATAAATGATCACTATACGCTTCAGAGGGCATCTAGCCCACAGTAGTAGGCACTGAATAATTCAGCAAATAAATAAAATGACAATGATAATAACAAGCTCCTGGGTTTTTCGTTTTTTTCTTTTTTGAGACAGGGTCTTACTCTGTTACCCAGACAGGAGTGCAGTGGCATGATCATAGCTCACCGTAACTTCAAACACCCAGGCTCAAGAATCCTCCCACCTCAGCCTCCCAAGTAGCTAGAAACACAAGCACCTATCACTGTGCCCAGCTAATGTTTTATTATTTAAAAAAAAATTTAGGCTGGGTGCGGTGGCTCACGCCTATAATCCCAGCACTTTGGGAGGCCGAGAGGAGTGGATCACAAGGTCAAGAGATCAAGACCATCTTGGTCAACAAGGTGAAACCCCGTCTCTACTAAAAATACATAAATTAGCCAGGTGTGGTAGTGCATGCCTGTAGAGCACCACCACCAAGAGCGAAACTCCGTCTCAAAAAAAAAAAAAAAAAATTTAGTAGAGACGAGGTCTTGTCACGTTGCCCAGGCTGGTCTCAAACTCCTGGGCTAAAGTGATCCTCCCATCTCAGCCTCCCAAATTGCTGAGATTACAGGCATGCACCACCATGGCTGGCCCTAGCTATATTTTTTAATGTTTGTATTCTGTAACATTAGAAAAAAATGCTTAGTATCTAACAGACATTTGATAATTATTTGTTAAGTGGACAAGTGAATGATTTCCTTGAAAATTCTGTGGAAAAACACACAGAAACTAAATAGAGAAAGTTCTATTATGAGCACCTCAAAGACTAAAACTATGTCTATTTCTTTTTTTTTTTTTTTTTTCTTCCGAGATGGAGTTTCGCTCTTGTTACCCAGGCTGGAGTGCAATGGCACGATCTCGGCTCACCGCAACCTCCGCCTTCTGGGTTCAGGCAATTCTCTTGCCTCAGCCTCCTGAGTGGCTGGGATTACAGGCACGCGCCACCATGCCCAGCTAATTTTTTGTATTTTTAGTAGAGACGGTCAACATTTCACCATGTTGACCGGGATGGTCGGTCTCTTGACCTCGTGATCCACCTGTCTCGGCCTCCCAAAGTGCTGGGATTACAGGCGTGAGCCACCGAGCCCGGCAACTATGTCTATTTCATGTTTGTCTCCAATAACTTGCAAAACCTAACTTACAGAAGTTCTTTGATTAATATGTACTAAATTAAAGGTGTCCTCTTACAATTCAGATTGTCCAATGCATGAGGCATCATCACATCTCAGTAGCACAGTAGCATTTTTGTTATTGTGAAACATTTTTATACTTTTATTATAATTTGTTGAGCCTAGAGTTGGGCTATTTGAATATTTATTATGATAATCTTTTGGCTAATGGTAACAGGATATCTTGTGCTAACAAAATTATTGTTATCATAACAAGTAACCAACAGGTAGAAGAACATATCTTGTTCTAATGAAGTAAATATACCTCATTCGATTTCAAATTAGGGGGAAAGTCAATAATAGTGAGGCCTTGTTGGTTTATAAGTATGTAACACGACCTGTACTTCTCAACAAGGAATTGCTTTTCTGACTTCTGCACTCAGTAGATATCTTCAAAAATAATTTCCTATTAGTATGCACACTGGGTATGTTTTGCAGGGTTTTTTTTTTCTTTTTTGGAGACAGGGTCTCACTCTGTCATCCAGGTTGGAGTGCAGTGGCATGATCACAATCATAGCTCACTGCGGCCTCGACTCCCAGGCTCAAGTGATCCTCCCATCTCAGCCTCCCAAGTAGCTGGGATTACAGGTGTGCACCAAAACACCCAGCTAATCTTTTACTTGTTTTTGTAGAGACGTGGTCTCACTATGTTGCCCAGGCTGGTCTGGAGCTTCCCAATGCAAGCAATCCTCCCGCCTAGGCCTCCCAATATGTGGGAATACAGCTGTGGGCCAGCACACCTGGCCATTTTGCAGTTCTTCTTGCCATTTGTTTATGGTGCCAGAAAGGCATTGTTGATTTCCCAGTTTTGAAACTACTTTGTGTTACTTTAGTGACACAAATCACTATGTAATATTGTTAGCCTTTGAACAACACAGGTTTGAACTGCAGGGGTCTACTTATAGGCAGATTTTCTCCCACCTCAGATAGCAAAGACCAATCTTTCTCCTCCTCCTTAGCCTACTCAACTTGAAGACTATGATTCAGAGTTATATAATGATCCACTTGCATTTAATGAATAGTAAACTTACTTTTTTTAATGATTTTCTTAATAAGTTTATTTCTCTAGCTTCCTTTATTGTAAGAATACAGCATATTAATACATATATCATACCAAACACATCTTAATTGACTGTTTATGTTATCAGTAAGCTGCTGGTCACCTTCTTGGGGGAGTCAAAGTTATACACAGATTTCTGAATGCAGAGGGGATCAAGCATCCCTAAATCCCAGGTTATTAAGGGTCAACTGTGATTGATACTCATTTACTAAACACAAGCCATTTATTTTAAAAATTAAATAGAAGTTCCAATTTCATAACAAGTCTAATTCATTATAATGTGACCATAAAGAAAACATACAACTTACTAACTTAAAAATATATTTTTCTTATTTATACAAATATATCATATAGGATTTTAGGAACCATAATTAAATAATTTTTTTCAGACAAGATTAAGATAATAAATGACCTGCAATTAACTTTTTAAATAATTGTGAGATCTAACCTACCAAGAAAGAAATTAAGAGAAGGCCGGGTGCGGTGACTCACGCCTGTAATCCCAGCACTTTGGGAGGCTGAGGCAGGTGGATCATGAGGTCAAGAGATTGAGACCATCCTGGTCAACATGGTGAAACCCCGTCTCTACTAAAAATACAAAAAATTAGCTGGGCATGGTGGCGCGTGCCTGTAATCCCAGCTACTCAGGAGGCTGAGGCAGGAGAATTGCCTGAGCCCAGGAGGCGGAGGTTGCAGTGAACCGAGACCGCGCCATTGCACTCCAGCCTGGGTAACAAGACCAAAAACTCCATCTCAAAAAAAAAAAAAAAAAAAAAAAAAGAAAGAAAGAAAGAAAGAAAGAAAGAAATTCAGAGAAAAATATACAAGCAGCTTACACACATATGGCTTTTTCCTTACTCTTTTTTTTTTTTTTTTTTTTTTTTTTTTTTTTTTGAGACAGAGTTTCGCTGTTGTTACCCAGGCTGGAGTGCAATGTCGTGATCTCGGCTCTCCACAACCTCCGCCTCCTGGGTTCAGGCAATTCTCCTGCCTCAGCCTCCCGAGTAGCTGGGATTACAGGCATGCACCACCATGCCCAGCTAATTTTTGTATTTTTTAGTAGAGATGGGGTTTCACCATGTTGAGCAGGATGATCTCGATCTCTTGACCTTGTGATCCACCCGCCTTGGCCTCCCAAAGTGCTGGGATTACAGGCGTGAGCCACCGCGCCCGGCCTAAAACTTCCTTACTCTTACTTTTTTATCTATAGGACCACCAAAAATAATTCACTATCATAAGTCTTACCTGGATTGTTATTTTGAGGAAGACTTTCAGGCGTCTGTTTTTCCTTATATTCAGAAATTAGTTGCTGAATGCTATGGATAAAAATGTAATAAATGAAATTACTGTTTTAAAACAAATGAAAAATACCAATTAAATTTTTAGAGTATTTCAAACAATATCAGAGTTAATATCAGAATTTTATCCTATATACTAATTTGCAAGTTCTACCAACTTCTCTTTAAGCTTTTAAAGAAGAAAACAAGATGAAGTCCTCCTAAATTGAAGGGAGTATGGCTCAGTATAAATTAACTCACATTCGCTTGACATAATGGAAAGTGTCCGAGCTCTATTACCAGCTGCTACTTGTTCTCCGACAAGTCGCTTCTCTTAGGCTCAATGTGTTCTTCTAAAAAGCAAGGATTTTACTGGCTTATTTCACTAGGTTGTTAAAAGATTTAATGAAATAATGTTTTGAAAATGCTCAGATAAACAGTGAAGCAATGAAATAATTTGTTCTTGAACTTTATTGCCAAAACTATTTCCCAATGTGTATTTTTTCAGAGGTTCTAAAATTCCCATTGCAGTTTTCTGAAACTGTTATTAAGTCCTAGTTTTGCTTATCAGTTGTTCCATGCTTTGTAGGTTATAATTCGGGGCATCACAACTATTTCATAGTTTGTAACTAAATTTTCTTATAAATACATTATTTCATCAAACTAGGTAACATCACTGTCCACTACGACTGAACTCATCAATCACAGTAAGGGCAGAAAGCTAACAGATGTCAAGACCTAGCTTGGACTACTGTTCCAGACTCAAACTCCGAGTTGGCAGACGTTTGTTAGAATGATGCTCAATCCCCATGTTAACCTCCGAGGTTTCCCCATCGGGGCACCAGAAAGCCGGGGTCCCCGACAGGACGGCGCGCCCGCCTCCTTCGCCCGGCCATTACCTCTGCTTCTTGTCCCTCTCGTCCACGCCGGGGCCTCCGGGCGCCAGGACGCGCTCCACCCCGGGGACGTCGCCCTGCCAGGCAGCTCTGTGGAGCTCGTCGAGATCTTCCAGGCGGACGCGGTACCGAGGCGGGGCGAAGCAGCCCCGAGGCGGGGCGAGGCCGTCCTCACCGTGCTCCCTTCCGCCGCCCGAGCTGTCGCGCCGCCAGCTGGTGAGGGAGCCCGAGGACCACCGGTCCTCCGGGCTCCCGCCTCTAAATGTCTTCCTCATGGCGGAGACTGCCGCCTTCGAAGACCCCTCGGGCCCTCCCCGCCCTTCCCCGTCCTCCCCCGCCCCTCCTCGCTTTTCTCCACCCCAGGAGACCAACAGGAGCGAGTTACTGCCTTGGCCACAACCTCCCAGGAGGAAAGCCCGAGGTTTCCAGTCAGTGAAACGAGCACCGCCGACCCAAGTAACAGCCAAGCCAAGCGACCACCGCCAAGCCTCACGGGTAACGCCAGGCCTCACGGGTAACGCCAAGGCACGCGAGTGACGCCAAGGCACGCTGGTGACGCCAAGGCAGCGCGTGTGACGTCACCGCACGTGCATGGCACCTGTGACGTCACTGCACCTGCGCGCACAGGCCCCCGCCTCCCGGAGAAAACTCCTTGGCCTACAGGTGGCGCTGCAGCTGCGGCGCCGGCCAGGGCTGGCGGGTCCTTCGGGGCGGCGGCGTCCAGCCCGCCTGTCCTCAGGGAGTGCCTCCTCACAGCGCCGCCGCGCCCCTGCTCCTCGGCTTGCTCAGTTCAGGCGTGCGGACCAGTTCCCGCCCCTGTGCCGCCATCGCTTGGCCGCCCCGGGCTAGCCACCGCAGCGGAGCTGCCCCAGAGTCATCGCTGCCAGGACACAAGCGGAGTCAGGCGGCCGGGTCCAAGCGAGCCGCCCGCCCCGCGGGAAGGGCCTGCCCGACGCCACGGCCCGCCCGAGCCAGGGGACCCGTTCTGGGCATTCCGCTGCCTGGGGATGGGGCCGAGCAGCCGCTCCCCGCTCTGAGCCGCAGCCGCCGCGCATCTGCCGAGGGGCCGTGCGGCCGGCGACCCGGTTGGGCCGGGGAATGCCGGGTGCCGCTGGGGTCGCTCGTCTCTAGTCCGTCCTGTCCCTGCAGCCCGGGAGCACTAGTGTCGGTCGGCCGCGGTGGCTCACACCTGTAATCCCAGCACTTTGGGAGGCCGAGGCGGGCGGATCACTTGAGGTTAGGAGTTCGAAGCCAGCCGGCCCAACAAAGTGAAACCCCGTCTCTACTAAAAATAAAAATATTAGTTGGGCATGGCGCACCTGTAATCCTAGCTACTTGAGAGGCTGAGACAGGAGAATCGCTTCAACCCAGTGGGCGGGGGTCGCAGTGAGCCAAGACTGCACCACTGCACTTCAGCCTGGGCGACAGAGCAAGGTTCTGTCTCAAAAAACAAACCAAAAACAGCCAGGCACAGTGGCTCACACCTGAAATCCTAGCACTTTGGGAGGCTGAGCCGGGTGGATCACCTGAGCTTAGGAGTTCGGGACCAGCCTGAGCAACACAGTGAAACCCCATCTCTACTAAAATACAAATTACCAGGTATGGTGACGTGCACCTGTAATCCCAGCTACTGGGGAGGATGAGGCAGGAGGGTCGCTAGAACCCAGGAGGCAGAGATTGCAGTGAGCCGAGATCACGCCCCTGCACTCCAGCCTGGTCAACAAAGTGAGACTCCTCTGTAATTCAGGAATGGAACACCAAATACCATATGTTCTCACTTATAAGATGGAACTAAGCTCTGGGTACACAAAGGCATACAGAGTGATATAATGAGCTACATAGACTAAGGAGTGGGAAGGTGAGGGGGGTGAGTGATAAAACACTACATATTTGGTACCATGTACACTTCTTGGGTGAAGGATGCACAGAAATCTCAGCCTTCATGACTGTGCTATTCATCCGTTTAACCAAAACCACTCAAACCCCAAAAGCTATTGAAATGTTTTAAAGAATATTTCAGGGAGGGAGATGTGGACTCATGTGTTACAGAAAGACTCTCACCAGAGAAACTGAGGGAGCTACTCTCTTAGTCTAGGTCCAATCAGGAGAGAGAAGCCACGCAGTAACTTGAAGGTTTCATATAAAGAATGATTAACTATAGCAGGGATCTGGAGTCATGAGGGATTGGCTACTGATAACTGAAGACAACTCTAATAAATACAAGAATAGCAGAAATAAGAAGCAGCCTCCACCCCTAAGGCTGAGATGGAGCATCCAAGGAAGAGCTACCCACCCCCACCCCCAGGACTACCATCCAGCCCTGGATGGCCTTCGGTCAGTGGATGAAAAAGTTGCTGTGATGCCACACCAGTGTAACATACTGGAAATCCCCCCTCTGTTCATGGGGTGGTATCTCACTGGAGGTCCTCTGCTGCAAGACCACCTGGGCACTGTCGTGGGGACCTGCAGACAGGAAGGGGTTGTTGGCAGGAGAAGCAGCTAGCCTCTGGGGTGCTGCCGTCTGTCATGCCCTGCAGGAGATGGGCGCTGGAGAGGCTGTGTGCCCTGAAAGAACTTGGTGCTGGCAGAGGTGCCCACACTGCAGGAATCAGACCCCCAGATGCAGCATGTGCTACAAGAGCCAAGTGAGCGTTAAGAGGTTGCCAAGCGAGCACTGGAGAACCAGAAGGTAAAACTCTTTCCCTCCTGCAGTGGCTCTCTGGCACCCTCTACTGACAAAGCTTAACATGGTGCCAGCTGACAAAGGAAGCATACTGAAGGGCCCAGATCCATTTCCACAGTCCAGGCCGTGAAGGGGAAATGTGATGCAGAGATCCACTCAGCTGGTCCTCAAGGAAAGAATAAAGCTAAAAAAAAAAGTCATCCCAAATCCATAAAGACAATGCCAAAACCCAACAGAAAGAAAATAAAAAGGTAAAGTCCCTTCCATTATATTCACGATTGCACTTCCAGTCCGTAGGTGGATTTCATCTGGACCCCATTATCCATGTTCCCTGGAATTTTCCTCATATTTCTCACTAATGATAAGTTCTTATAAAACCTAGCAATTGACATTTTAGAACAAGGCCATAAAGACTTCCTTGATGGTCTCGTATTTAATTTTTTAATGAATGTCTTGTAGGAGGACCCATAAAATTCATTTGACCCAGTAATTTGAGCAAGTGCTCTACCATCTTCCTTATAAAGTGTGTCTGCCTTTCCTAGCACAACCTCACTTGCCTGTGTGTAATCACTCATTTGTGTGTTTTCATTTGGAGCTGTGTATGTTGCAGCTTGTTTCTATTCGTTCTTTGATACGAGCTGTTTTGTGTTATTATTTCACTTGATGGAGTCAACTCATCAACTCATTCTTTTTTTGTTTGTTTGTTTGTTTGTTTGTTTTGTTTTGTTTTGTTTTGTTTTGAGATGGAGTTTCGCTCTTGTTACCCAGGCTGGAGTGCAATGGCGCGATCTCGGCTCACCGCAACCTCCGCCTCCTGGGTTCAAGCAATTCTCCTGCCTCAGCCTCCCTAGTAGCTGGGACTACAGGCACGTGCCACCATGCCCAGTTCATTCTTTGTATTTTTAGTAGAGACGGGGTTTCACCATGTTGACCAGGACGGTCTCGATCTCTTGACCTCGTGATCCACCTGCCTCGGCCTCCCAAAGTGCTGGGATTACAGGCTTGAGCCACCGCGCCCGGCACAACTCATTCTTTAGCTTATCTCCTGTAGCGACTGGATGAGTTTGGCCTTAACCTCATCAGTGACAGAGACACTTCCCATCCATGGGTGTTAGCACTGGCTCTTCCCAGCAGCTACGTTTTGTTTCTGGGTTGCTGGTAGATTTCCACAATCGCACGTCATTTGTATTGGTTTGGAGAAAGAGGCTCTGGCTGTGTTTTCATCATTTTTTTCTTAAACAATTGTTAGATGCCACAACGTAGGTGGTAATGCTTCAACTGTATGCGTGTTGTCAGGCCCAAGGGCTTCTTCCATCCTCATCAAGGGGAGTGGTAACCTTCTCTCCTTTCATTCAACACGTGTTTTCATTTTTAACTTATTTTCAGTACTTTCGGTATCTGATTTTTTTTCTTTTCACCAAATTTCTTGTTTCTTGCATGATGCTCATCTTTCCTCCCAAGATTTCTTTTTTTTTTTTTTTGAGATGGAGTCTTGCTCTGTCACCGAGGCTGGAGTGGCACAATTTCAGCTCACTGCAACCTCTGACTCCCGGGTTCAAGCTATTCTCCTGCCTCAGCCTCCTGAGTAGCTGGGACTACAGGCTTGCACCACCACACCCAGCTAATTTTTGTGTTATTAGTAGAGACAGGGTTTCACCATACTGGCCAGGCTGGTCTTGAACTCCTGACCTTATGATCCGCCCACCTTGGCCTCCCAAAGTGCTGAGATTTCAGGCGTGAGCCACTGTGCCCAGCCCTACTCCCAGCGTTTCTTATTACGGGATGTCTGTGTCATTCACACAGCCATAATGCATTATTATGCATTACTATTAAATTATTCCTAGAGAACGTCATGTTTGTGTACATTTCTCTATACTGTTTTCTCTAGTGATTCCTTTTCATTTTCCTGCAAGATCCTATGTCTCGCGGGGAAGACGCTCTTCCAGATTTGTGATAAGGATAATAAAAATTCCACTACAAAGGGGACGGTTGTCTCTGGAACCCCAGGACCTCCATTGGGTCCCCTGTCTCACGGGGCTTGAGATTGCCCTCATAGGAGATAGGACTATACAGAGACTGCAAGCTGGATCCGTGATTCCCAAAGTGATAGGAACACTGCAGCAGAACCCCCATATGCTTACTTAAAATGCAGATTCCTAGGCCACACGCAGACCAATTAACCTCTGCAGTCACGCCTGCAATCTGCATTTCAACAATATCTCCAGGTAATTCCTATGCACCTGAAATCCGAACTGCTAGGAAAGAAGGCCTCTGCAGGTGGGAGCAGTCTCCACTCCGCAGAGCAGGGGGACGCTGTGAAGCTCAGGATGACCGTCTACAGCTACTCCAACAGGTGTCATCTCTGCCTGAAGAAATGGAGATCTAATGTCTCCTTCCCAGGATCCTTGCCCTAAAGTGTCAAAACGATGTCTCAGGCTTCCTTTCTGGAACTTACCTCTGGTTCTCACAAGCAGGGAGTGCTATAAGCACCAGGTGTGCTACTCCATGGCTGAGGGTCTGGGTGGACCCAAGAAATCCCCATTTCAAATTCAGAGGGCCACTGGGGTCACTGGAACCAGCCACAGAGCCCCACCAGGCTTGCAGAGCAGCACCGTTTCACCAGAACTAGCTGTAAAATCAACACCCCACCCCATTCCCCCAGGACATAGAGGAGGAGGGCAGGCTCCATGGAGGAGGGAGGACATGGGGCCTTTGTGATGGTGAATTCTACACGTCCCCTTGACTGGGCTAAGGGATACCCGGATAGCTAGCAAAACATTTCTGGGTATGTCTGTGAGGGGCTTCCAGAAGCGATTAGCACTTGAACCCATGGATGGAGTAAAGAAGACCCACTCCCGCCACTGTGGTTGGGCATTGTCCAATCTGATGAGACCTGACACAAAAAAGTTGATAAAGGACAAATTAGCTCTCTCCGCTCGAGCTGTGTGGACCCACCCTTTCTCCTGCCCTTAGGGCTAAGTGCCCTTGTTCTCAGGCTTGCAGACTCAGACCGGGACTTAGCTGGACTAGAGCTACAGCCAAGCCAGCCTTCCCACAAGCTGCTCCCACTCGATGTCCGAGTATGGCAGGGATAGTAATTTAAGGCTCTTTCTCGTGATATGTGGGACTCCTCAGGTGACAGCTTTGGCCAGAGGACTCCCCAGTGGCCTTCCTCAACTTTTTTTTTTTTTTTTTTTTTTTTTTTTTTGAGACGGACTGTTGCTCTGTTGTCCAGCCTGGAGTGCAGTGGCACTATCTCAGCTCACTGCAACCTCGGCTACCTGGGTTCAAGCAATTCTCCTGCTTCAGCCTCCTGAGTAGCTGGGATCACAGGCGCCTGCTACCACACCCGGCTAATTTTTCGTATTTTTAGTGGAGATGGGGTTTCACCGTGTTAGCCAGGATGGTCTCGATCTCCTGACCTTGTGATACACCTGCCGTGGCCTCCCAAAGTGCTGGGATTACAGGCATGAGCCACCGCACCCAGCTACTTCCTTTTTTAAGCAAAAATGCCTTTATTGTGGTCTTTACGTATTTCTCAATCATCTAACATGTAACATTGTTAACATTAGGTACCTGTCCTTTTACTTTTGTATGTCACTGACAAAGTTTTTGAGTGTTATGTCCCTTACCCCGCTTTTCTCCATAAGCCCTGTGGTCACACCATGTCACATGATGCATGCTTAGGAACCAGCAGTGGTGTCATAACAGAACTGACTACCTGGGTAAGACACTCAGCACACGGTGAGCTTTCAATGTCAGGGGTTCGTATTGTTGTTATTGTTATTATCGAACCTCTGGTGCTTGTCTAACACTTGCCATTTCTCAAAGCTCTTTCCCAATAATAAATTCATTTTTCTCCTCGTGGTTGGTAGGTGGATTATTGTTCCAATTATACAAAAAAAGAAAATGCAAATCATAGGGAGTTAAAAAATTTGCCCAAGACCACAAAAGTCCTGGTAGATTCTCATTTATTTTATTTATTTATTTATTTATTTATTTATTTATTTATTTATTTGAGATGGAGTCTCGCTCTGCCACCCAGGCTGGAGTGCAATGGCATGATTCCGGCTCACTGCAACCTCCACCTCCCAGGTTCAAGTGGTTCTCATGCCTCAGTCTCCCGAGTAGGTGGGATTATAGGCGTGCGCCACATGCCCAGCTAATTTTTGTATTTTTAGTAGAGACAGGGGTTTACCATGTTGGCCAGGTTGGTCTCAAACTCCTGACCTCAGGTGGTCCGTCCGCCTTGGCCTCTCAAAGTGCTGGGTGACAGGTGTGACCCGGCAGATTCTTAAAAGACCTGTTCTTTGCCTTCAGATTTCTTCAGAAAAAAAAATGAAGAGATTATTTCAAGCTGCACAGCCAAGCAGTGTAAAGCAAAGTGTATGTAGAAACAGGGCGATTCATGAGTCAGAGGAGGACAGGAAGAGAGAGCATGCAGCGGTGAAAGAAAGCTGGAAGGAGCGAATTAGGAATCTGAGAAGTGAGCAGAGGGAGAGTGTTGCAAGATGGAGACAATCAGTGAACAGCAGGGCTCGCAAACTCAGCCATGCCAGAGGGCAGCAGGCAAGAGGAATGAGTGAAATGTTCTGGTATGAACAGGGAACGGTGGAGACGGGGGCATGCAAGGGCCTGCTCAGCAGGGAAAGATGCCGGTGAACTCTGAGCACCTCCTACCTGAGGAGGAGATTCAGCTTCTGATTTCTTAAAAGAAGCAGAATTCAAGGTTTATGTAAAATTTCTAGGGTTTGTTTGATTTTTGAGACCCCAGCTCCGTGTCGCCCAGGCTGGAGTGCAGTAGCATGATCTCGGCTTACTGCAACCTCCACCTCCAGAGTTCAACAAAGTCTCCTGCCTCAGCCTTCTGAGCAGCGGGGATTACAGGCAACCACCATCACCCAGCTAAATTTTGTAGTTTTAGTAGAGACAGTTTTTCACCGTGTTGGCCAGGCTGGTCTTGAAAGCCTGACCTCAAATGATCCAACCACCTCAACCTCCCACAGTGCTGGGATGACAGGAGGGAGCCCAGCGCCGGACCTTTTTGTTACTGCTGTTGTTTTGAAACATAGTCTCACTCTGTTGCCCAGGCTGGAGTGCACTGGTGCATTCACAGATCACTGCAGCCTTGACTTCCCAGGCTCAAGCGATCCTCCAGGCTCAGCCTCCCGAGTAGCTGGGAACACAAGTGCACGCCACCTGCCCAGCTAATTTTTTACAATTTTTCTTTGTTTTTTGTTTTTGCGGGGGAAGGAGGGGTACACATGTGGCCTCACTATGTTGCCCAGGCTGGTCTCAAACCCTTAGGCTCAAGAGATCCTCCTGGCTCAGCCTCCCAAACCATTAGGATTATGGGTGGGAGCCACCATGCCCAGCCACTTTTGTAATTATTGTCAATATTTTGAACATCAACAACTTAAATGTTCAAAAACACATTCCAGGCCAAAGTAACACACCAATAGGCCAGAATGAATACCCGACTGCCAGTGAACTGACGGGCCCAGGACCCCATGCAAAGAAGTTTGAACACGGATGGACACAAAATATGTTATTTATTGTCAATTTCTGCAAAGACACATTTAAGCAACAAAATATACATTTGTCAACCTTTTAGAATTTGTTTTGTACATTAACAAATACAATGTGCTACCATAGCAATAAATTAAATGTACATTATTTACATGACATAGGCAGTTGGGGTCTAGGAATCACCTGCTCACTAAGAGGAAAGAAAGGAAAGTCATCGTCCCATGGAGCATCTCTTCCAAGCCACCGTCCTTAGGTTCTACCACACAGGGGAATCTGCACGCTCACACGTCAGCGCGCCCTGAGCTGCAGCGTCCAAGGGGACCACTCACGACAAGAAGGAGCCACACACATGCTAAGGGGCAGGAAGGGAGATTTGCAAGTCCAAGCAGAAATGTCACAAAATCAAAGACGATGGCAATTCAGTTCCAGTCTTCCAGCCAAACGCCCCCCTCCCCAGGGCCGGCAAGGCGCAGGACAGAGCCGCGGCCCCACGGCCTCTCACTAGGCAGGGCTCTGCTGCCCTTGGCCCTGGTGGGGCTGGTCTTCCTCCCAAAGGGGCACATGGCCCAGCTGAAGGGAAGAAGACATGAGATTGGGGTGGACAGGGGCTGGTGGTAAAATAGAGCTTGGTAAAAAGAATACCCTAGCCAGCCCCGCCAGGCTGCAGGATCAGCCTTGGCAAACTTTACTGGGCTCCCCTTGCCTTGATGACGGGTAGCTGGAAGCCAAGGGGTCCTGAGCATGGCTGGCCGGCCTGGTCTGTGCTGGCCACCTGTAGCCATGAGATCTACTCGAACCCCCGACTGCTCAAAACAGAGCTGTCTCTACTGACTTAGAAACCAATGAGAAAGGTCATGTTTGCGTTGGCACCTTCAAGGGTCCGGGAGGAAAGTGAGACAGGCGCTTGCCCAGGTTTTTATTGACCACCTTTGTTTGAGAATCAGGGAGAAATAGAGTTTTCTTGGACCACTTTTCCTCCTAATTCAGGAAAAGGGAGGCTGGGGGCTGGTGGGCAGCACCCTCTCCCTGGCCTCCGCCACCATTATGCACTGGAGCTGAAGAACCAATCCCACCGAGGAACGTCACCCAATCGCCTTCCCTCCTCATTTCCTTCCATCCAAAGCCTGAAGGTCCTCACTGAAAAACCCAAGACCATCCCTCCTGATGAAAACAAGCAGAAACCGAGACCTCACCAGCATCCGTGACTGATCAGCTCCACGCCAGGGCCAAACCACCAGCTAACGTCTTCCCCAAAACCCAGGGCCCCAGGAAATGCAGTCACATATTCAACCAAGCATGTAGGTTGTGCAGGGGAAGGAATCCTGGGTTGAGGGTTCCAATCCCAGCTTTGCCACCAGCCAGCTGTGTGACCTCAAGCATGTCATTCCCCTCACTTGGGCTAAGATTTCTCATCTGGACAGTGACATTGCTGGCTGAGGTACTAAAAGGAACCAGAGGCTGGGGTGTTGAGATAATGCTGACAAAGCTGAACCACTGACTATTTTTCAAGAAACATTTTTACATTCATTGTCACAGACAGACACTCCCATTAAGACCTTCTATCTCTAGCTTTTCTGCACCTGTTTTAAGCATCAACTGAGCTGGAGGCATATGGCTGGGCCTGCAGTGCCTGGAAAGCAGTTTCTTCAGTGGGTCAGGCAGTTCCCAGAGCCAGAGACATGTCCAGGATGACACCCCCTAGTGGACATCACAGTGGAAATCCCTCAAATACCATCCTGAGCACCATCTAAATGAGCCTTGTCGCAAGGGCCAGTGAGGTCTGAACAAATCTCCGAGCCCCAAGACGGCACAGCATAAAAGGAAAGACATTTGCAATCAGAGCAGATGTAAGGGAGCGTGGGGGAAGCAGACCCCCAGGAACCTGAGCTGCCTGCCCCGTGGGCCAGAGGAGGGAGAGGAGACTGGGCCATCCCCGTTCTCCTCCCTACTCTCAGCACTGGCACCCCAGGTGGACTGGAGGTGCACACTCTGGAAGCCACAGGATGGAGCTTCTAGAGACAGTGACGCAGGACCAGAGGGAAGGAGCCTTTGGGGTCCTGCTCAGAGCACTCCAATAGGAAACCGGGGGTAGAGGCTCCATCTCAGGTCTGTGCTTCTCTGGGGCTACCCAGCCATCCTGCCTACCAGCTCAGAGGCAGGGACAAAGCCCTCCCAGGAGGCAGCAGGCAGCAAGGGCCAGCCAGCGTGGTGGGGACAAGCAGGTATGGAAACAGGCAGGTATGGAACTGACAAATGGGACGGTGTGGTGACAGCCTGGAAACCCCAGAGGACCCCAGACTGCAATGCGACACGGCCCATCCACCAGCAGCTGTGATGCCAGCCACCCAGAGAGGCCAGCGGGAACCTGTATTTGTTTCTCAAGAAATACAGTTTGACCTTTCAAGTTCCTTCAGAAACCCAGCCAACAAAACACAAAACGCGGCCAGAACGCACGGGCCTCGCTCCAGCAGTGGCTGCTGCTGCGGTGACTTTTCATAAAAGCTCAACGGATACCGTGTTGACCTTCTAACTGGAATAAAGTTTACTAGACTAGTACTTGAGGCAAGCACATTCCCCAGACAGCGTCGGGGAGCGCTCCCCACCAGCCTGCAGACAGGAGTCAATCATTCCCACGAAGGTGGGGGGGTGAGGAGCAAACTGCTGCTCAAGTGGAAAAAGCTAAGGGGGAAGTTTCACAATATCCGTAAAGAAAGAAGAAAAACAAACGGAAATGGAAAGGAAACGAAAGGAAAGGAAAGGATGAGAGAGCAGCGTTCATATCTGGGGCACAGGTCCAGGCCCTGTGGGAATAAAGCCTTTGGTTGGAAATCCTTGTCACCCACTCATGGAGCAGGAGCCAGCCGGCGTCCCTCCACAGCCCGTCTGCACTGAAAGCCACTCTTCAGGCTTGCTTTACCTGGAGGATGCCCACCTTAACCCCAACCCAGGCCCACCAGCAGAGAAGCCCAGGGCCTGCAGGCTCAGAAGGAAGAAGCCGGGGGGATGTTCTGGGGGTGAGCTGGCTGCGCCAGCAAGGGAACTCTGCTGAGCGTGGGGTGGCACGTGGGTCATGGGGTCTGAACCACACCCAGATGGGACCCAGGTTGCAGGAACCCTTCAGATGTGACAGCTGCCTCAGACCCCAGCTGGAGAGGGCAATAGATTGGGGGTTGAGCCCCAGATGCAATTGCTGAAGGCCACAGTAGCTGGAAAAGGCCCCAAGGCCATGCTGGGCCCCCCAAGACTCCAGGGGCATAAGCAGCTGAGGGACACTGGGCCCCTTCCCCCTACATGGGCCCGATCAGAACCCGCAAGCCTTCCCCACCTCACTCTCTCCTCGTGTAAGTCGGGAGGGGAAATGTCTGGTCTTCCTGGAACGTCCCCTGCGGGCAGAGACCTGGGCCCCGGCCTGGCCCACAACCGACACAGCAGCCCCCCAGCACTGGCTCCTCCGCTCTCCCTGAACTCCTTCTCCCTCCTGGCCTCCCGCCCCTGTGTGGAAGAAATGTCTGCTTAAGGGGAAGAGACGGCCTCAGGGCTTCCCCTACAGTGGCCATAATCAGGGGCCTGTAAGAAGCTGGGCAGGACACAAAGTGCCCGCCACCGTCCGGGAGGCGTGCGGCGCAGCCCCCGCCCATCCAGCTGTCTCTGAGCTTGAACTGGCTGGTGCCCCGCTCACGGTACCCTGGCAGCCGGGGAGGCAGCCCCGGGCCTCCATCAGCAGATGGGAAAGACGTTCAGCACAGAAGCAAAGATGGAGATTCTGGAGATCCAGGGATACAGGGGCAATAGCGCTGACTTTTATCAGGATGGCCTCAAGGACGCTCCGAGTCTTGGCTCCTGGGAGCATGATGCCACCAAGAGCATTCCTGGTGGTAAAGCCCGCCCCGTCCGGGAAGGCACTGCCCTGTGGCCAACACCCCCAACGTGGTCTCTCAGGCAGATCAGCTCCCAGTCACTGCCGAGCTCCCTCCACCCTGCCCAACTCTTTTCCTCTCCAGGCTGAACAAGATGACAAAGGACCCGGACATCACACTGGGAGGTCAGGAAGGAGGAACCTGAGGAAGGAGGCCTCATCCAGAGACAGGATGTACTTGGAGGGCATGTCGGTGGCGGCGCGGGCAGGGCTGTGGCCACCTGGGACACCCGGACCGACGGCTGGTCTGTGGGCAGGTGGCCAGTGGGGCGGCGGGCCTGGGGCTGTCGGGGTCGTGTTCCACACGCCCGAACTGCTGGAACGGGAGCCTTCTCCAGACAGAACGGGGCTTCCCTGAGGAGACAAGGTGAGGGAGACGATGAGCCAACATTCCGTACAAGGAGGAAGGGATGGTGCAGACGTCGGGAGGAAGGGGTGGGGAACGCGCCTGCCTGTGGCTGCAGCTCAGTGGAGACCTTAGGACCAGGAGGGTCCTGATATCAGGGGGCCCCACCTTTCGCGGCCAAGAAGCCGCGCCTCACCACGACTTTGGCGGGCAGTGGTGTCTGGAGTGCATGATGGAGCCAGAGGGAAGGTCCACATCCCCATTTGTCTTCTGCTTTTCATAAATCAGTTTGAACATAAAGTGGGTTCCGCCATGCCCCTCCCCTCGGCTCCAGCGCTGACTTCTACTCCTGGAGCCCCATGTGGGGAGAGGGCTGGGGCTCAGATGGTCCTCTGGGGACTTTCCCAGCAGGCATCCAGGCCGTGATGGTAGCGAGCTGGACCCGTGGCCGCTCTGCTGATACCACATGCCCCCTCAAAGCAGGCAGGAGCAGAGGCCTCCTGGGGTGGCCCCTCACAGTGCTGACTGCCAGGGGCATCTCCTGGCGAGGAGGAGAGCACACCCAGCCCAGGGCCTCTGCCAAAGACACAAGGAGGGGACAGCTGCCTGAGGGCAGGGATGCCAGGGAGCACTCCCAGGAACTCCTCCCACCAGGGGCAGAAGCGGGCATGGCTACTCCCCTTCTGCCTGTAGAAACCAGACTCCATCAGTGGAAGGGAGACCTAGCTAATACATCTGGGCCAGGATTACTGGGAACCCCCTTCCCCTCTCCACACAAGCCACTCGCCCCTCTTTCCCCATCACAGGTCTTCAGGGGTGAAGCGGCTTTTTGGACCTCCCCAGCTGGTAGCATCTCTCTGGCCATTCTGAGGCTACAGGCCACTTGAACTCTGATCTAAAAGGAACACACCTCCTGACTCATGACCACAGAGGGACAAACATTCACTCAACCCACCTTGGACAGGCAAAGGACTCCTCCTTCACATTAGTGACCCTGTTTCAACAAAAACCCATACAGGAGTTTCAGTAACCAGACAACACAGTCCCCTTCCATGGCAGCGTCTCTGCACTCAGCTCCTGACAGTCTGGTGAGCTCAGGAAGGGACTCGGGGCCTAGGAACAAGCATTTCACACCTCACGTGTGGGCCTGGCCGTGTCCAGAGGTGAAGCTGTAATTCAGCAGTTGTGGCAAAGGTGGCTGGGAACCCCAAGCCACCGCCTGCGCCCACTGGGCCAGACCTCCCCAGAGCTTCCCCTGCCCCCTACGAGGAGTCCCCTCTGACGTGTCTGAACCCTCCTCCTCTGGCCTGCAGGAGGGAGGCTGCCTTCTATGTGGGGTGTGGGAGGCGTTCACAGCATCCTTACCGCACCGGAGCTGGCATGGCTGAGCTTGTCAAAGCGGAATTTCAGGTTCGATCTCGGGGAGTTTCTGCTTTTGGCATCTAAGAAAAAGAATGCCCATGAAAGGGGGGTGGAGCTGTACAGGCCACTGGGGCTGCACGTGGGGACTGGCCAGGGAGCCCGGGGGAAGGGGGCCTCCTGCCCCCCACCAGAACCAGCACGCAGGCTGACCTGTACGAGTCCATAAGAGCCAACTCCTGGATTACAGAAATGTGGGGGGCAGGTCGTTCAACACAGGCCATTTTGTAAAGCTGAATTACATAAGCTTAGAATTCAATAAATTATATTCAACAGATGTCATAAATACTTGAAATTCATCACTTCCTAGTTATTTTTCTGTTTTATGATTATCTATGCTCTTATGCCTATTGTATATACATGGTAGGAACACCCTAAAGATGGTGGCTACAGTGTATCTTCTTCCCAATTCCACGTTCAAGGATGTCACATCAGTAGCTTGAGATCAGCCACGATAGGTATATTTACACCACAGAAATTGGCACATGCTACAAATCATGGCTTGATTTATTGTTTTGTTATCTAGACTTAAGGAACTAATAGAAAAAAAGTAATCTACATTAAACTTCAAAACGTGTGTCTGCAGGCATGGCATTGTGAACAGCACAAAAGAAAATTGAGTCAATATCCTTCCAGGGTTTCAAAACTGTTCTAGGATACAGCAAAGAAATAACTTGTGTCACACTGATCAGTGAAGTTCTCTTCATATGAAATACTCATGGCTGGGTGCAGTGGTTCATGCCTATAATCCCAGCACTTTGGGAGGCCAAGGTGAGTGGATCACCTGAGGTCAGGAGTTCAAGACCAGCCTGGCCCACATGGTGAAAGCCCGTCTCTACTAAAAATACAAAAATTAACCAGGCGTGGTAGCGCTTGCCTGTAATCCTAGTTACTTGGGAGGTTGAGGCAGGAGAATTGCTTGAACCTGGGAGGCGGAGGTTGCAGTGAGCCGAGATTGTGCCACTGTAATCCAGCCTGGGTGACACAGTGAGACTCCATCTCAAAAAAAAGAAAAAAATACACACACACACACACACACACACACACACACGTAAAATATATATAAAATACTCATTAACATGGTAATATCAGTCCACATTCATGTCAGAATTACACATATCTATCACCGGCAGCCGTAAGTTGGCTACAGATGGAAAGGTTAGGCAGATACCAGTAAAGCATTTTGTGAGAGTCCATTGGACATACGGGATTTACAATAGAGAACATCATCTATTTGCTGTTTGTACACTGTGTTTCATATCCATCATATCATAAGATTCAGTGAGTGAGTGTGTGAGGGGTGGCAGAGCCAGGTATAAACGCTCCACTAGGCCCCACTGGCAGGAGGGCCACTGGGTTTCTGGCTCTCCTCTGGCCAAGGGTATCAAAAGCTCAGCACAGCCTTCCTGGAAGCTGCTGACTGGTACGTGGTGCTTCGAATTGAGGCGGTCCACCCAGGGCTGTGACACCTCTTTGTGTCACCTGTCAGTCCTCTTCTGGGCCCCAGGAAGCCCAGGAATGAAATGACCAATGATCAGATATCTGAGGTTAGGGAGGGTTACATGTCAGGCCCTCCCAGGCCACCTCTCTCCCCAGACTCAGCCCAATAGGAGAAAACAGGTTCCCGGATCTCCCCAAGCCCACCCTCATCCTGAGGGAATCAAGCACATCTTTAATGGGGCTGGGGGTTAAATACTGTGTGAGAAAAGGTGTGTAAGAAGCAGCGTCACAGTGGGAAGCGGGAAGCACTGGCCCAGAGTCCCCAGACCCGTCCAAGGTCCCTTCTGCCCGGGGTGACCTTCAGCAACTTGCAGAGACTCTATCATTCCTTCACTCAAAACCTTCCTTACTTGGATATTTAACACCAAGTGGGAGCCAGGCTTGGTTACAGATTCTTTCATTCATTCCAGTATTTAAGTTTTCTTTTTTTTTTTTTTGAGATGAAGTCTCGCTCTGTCACCCAGGCTTGAGTGCAGTGGCTTGATCTTGGCTCACTGCAACCTCTGTCTCCCAGATTCAAGCAATTCTCCTGCTTCAGCCTCCCAAGTAGCTGGGACTGCAGGCGCCTGCCACCACGCCCAACTAATTTTTTGAATTTTTAGTAGAAATGAGGTTTCACTATCTTGGCCAGGCTGGTCTTGAACTCCTGACCTTGTGATCCACCTGCCTCGGCTTCCCAAAGTGCTAAGATTACAGGTGTGAGCCACCGTGCCTGGCCTTAATTTAAAAAAAAAAAAAAAAATCCAGGGAATTTGTATTACTGCCCCCCTTTACAGAGTAGGAAGCTGAGGCTCAGAGAGGTGGACCTGTCAATCCCACAACTGGGATTTGAACCCAGCTCTGCAGCTGCCCGACTGCAGGGGGATGAATGAGAGGAGGCATGTGACCTCCTCCACTCACTGAGAAACACATGGGCAGAGGGCCACCGGCTGTGGAATCACCATCTTCCCTTTACCTCTGACACTGCAGGTTCTCTGCAACACCCCTTCGCCATGCGGACCCCAGGAACATTTTGGCTTCAGCCACCCAGATGGCCCATTGGCCCTTCCTGTGTCTCTATCATTGAGACTAGAGTTTCTCAACCAAATGACACTTGGGGTCAGAGAATTCTTTGGCTAATGTGGTTGCGGGCTGACCTGTACATTGCTCAGCTGCTTCTCTGACCTCTGCCCACTAGATGCCAGTAGCACCCTTCCTAAATCGTGAAAATAAAAAAAGTACCTAGACATTGCCAGACCTCCACGGGAGAGCAGGACTGCCCCGGCTCAGAGCCGCTGAGTACACTACTGTCTCATTCCCACTCCTTAACGAACGCCGAGGTTACCAGTCCCGTGCCTCTTACAAGCATGAGCACCTTTAATCATACAACCAGCCCTCGGAGGCAGACACTACTATTCCCCTCCCTTCATTTTCTGCTTGGAGAAACTGAGGCACAGAACGGCTCGGTGACTTGCCCAGTATCATGTCTAGTGACCAGCAGACCCAAGATGTGGACCCAGGCTCAGAACCCTGTGCTCACTCCATGCTCAGCCACCTTCACGAGAACAGGAACCCACAGCACCCACCCAGCAGTGCCCCCCACGCAGCCCCCAGATGCTGGCCCCCCACTCTCTCCCCAGAGCTGGCTCCCCTACTCTGCCCAGCTACAGGGATTACAGAACCCCAAATCCAGACTCCTGCTCTCTCTGAAGCCCCGCTACTGAGCCCCTACATTTTACCTCCTTGGTACCTCCCGAACCCAGGCGCTCCCCAGTTCCCCTCCTGTCCCCTCTCCTCCGTCCTCTCTGTTCCTGCCCCCCATTAACCCATTCTCCACCCAGCAGCTGCAGCAACCAAACTGGTCTTTCTCAACTCCGGACGGTGCTTCCCTACTTAAGAATCTTCAAATACTGAAGAGTCTCCAACAGCAGCTGCCAGCCAGAGAACAAATCCTCACCAGGGTCTCAGGGATGTCCCTGGCCTGCCAACGCTCCAGCCTGTCTCCTGCCTGGCTCTGTGGACTCTAGCTTCTGTGAACCACGTGCAGGTCCAGAACACCTGCTCTCTCCTCGCCTCTGGGCCGTTCCACCTGCTGTTCCCTCCCCCTGCAGCCCTTCCCCTTCTCGTATTATCAAGACCCCCACCAGGACAGAGGGGCCCTGGAGCGCTGGCAGGCGGGGAGGGCAGCCAGTGGACAGGGCTCAACTTCCTTGTCACCAATCCCAACTCCTCCACTATGGGATCTCATCAGGGTCACTACCTGTGGGGGTCTGTCCTGCAGACCCTGACCCAGTGATGGATGAATCAAGTGCACTGACACACAGATATTATCCTCTGCCAGTTTGGCTGAGGGTCCCTGTGGCTTACAGACGCCTTACAGAGTGCTGTAAACAGTTGCAACCACGGGCCCTCACTAGCTAGAGAGACTTGCATTTATTTAGTAAAGTTTAATTGAGAAAGGCTTGGGTCAACACCACTAGAGTGAAGGTTAAAGCACAGATTCTGACGCCCAAAGCAAACATCATTAGTGGACATCTTGGTCAACCTCCCCAAGAGAGCCATCTGGTTCAAAGGTTAGTTTTAAGACCACATGAGTAAACAAGTTAGTTAGGTAAACTCCCCCACATCCTGTGGCTATTTGCTTTACTTATTAACTCAAAGCAAGGGGGATTTAGGCTGCCTTCAGCTGAAACTTCTATTGAAACTATGAAAAAACCTTTAGGCCTTCCAAAAGGGTTTGAGACTCTATTCTGTAACTTTCTCTACTATTTTTCCCTTAGTATTTTTGCCACCACCCTGAGTGAATTCTCACAGGGTCTCCTGTAAGGCTTTCACCTCTCTGTGCCTCAGTTTCACACTCTCCATGTAGGGAGGTTAGGAACTTAGGCTGTGAAGGCTGATGAACCGATGGAGAGAGCTCACAGAGTGGGGGCCTCGCAGCGGGGAGGAGGTCTGAAGCCCAGACAGTTTGGTGTGGCTGTGGCCAACCGTGGACAGGGCACGGCCTGCCCTCCTGGTGATGTCACACACACCACCGATGCCACTGACCTGTGGGACTCCGGCTCATGATGATCGGGGTGGCGGCTGCCCCCAGGCTGGGGCTCTCGCTGCTCGGGGACGGGCTGTAGACAAACACCTCCTGCTTGAAGGGTGACGTTGTGGATGGCTGGCTGCTCTGAGGAGAGAGGCCGGGTGAGCGAGGTCAGCCCACCCTCGGTAGCCACATTACACAGGCCTGAGATAGCACCCACAAGCCCAGGACGGCCACTGCCTCCCACTCCCCACCTGCTCTTTTCTTTCCTGCTGACTTCAACCCTGGTTCTAAGCTTTCCTGCTCCAAGAAAGACCTTTGACCCAGCCTCCTGGGCCAGCACTAGCCACTCAGCACTCCAACCAGGAGCCCCAAGGCAGGGGCACCGTCAGGTCTGGCTCCTGCCGTCTGCTGCTGCTGCCATGTCACTCCGAGGGGGACCCCCTCACCCACGGCACCCAGGGGGTGGTGATGGCTGACGAGCCCACCTCTCGTCTCCATTCTTCCCCTTTCCTCTACAAAGACTGGAGTGGGCTCGATCCACAGTGCTGTTCTAATGCAAGGAGGGTGGCTGGCCAGTGCCCAGAGTGCCTGCCCAAGGGTAGATGGGCACACTTACCCCACTGTCGCCCTCCTCCATGGCTTCGCCCTCCCCGGTGGTGCTGCTGACACTGCTCGTGCTGGAGGAGGAGCGGGAGATGGCGCGGCCATTCTCCTTCAACTTCATAAAGGGCCTGCAGGAAACAGGAAGCAAAGCCGGCCCTGGTGGCACGCGAGAGCCCTCCACCCCCGGCTCCTCCCGGGATCAGACAGGGCAGCCACCGTGGAGATCTGCACCTGTCCTCTGGCGGCTGCCCACGCCCCCACCCATCAACCATCAGCCTTTGTGTTCTGGAGAGTTCCAGAGGCAGGAGATGGTCACTCTCAGCCAGCCAAGAGGCAGAGAGTGTGTTCCAGGGCTCCGTGGCCAAAGCCAGCCTTTCCCTCACCCTCACTCTCTTACTTCTCCCTGTTGGGGCAGATTTCCGGTGAGCTGGGATTAGACGAAGTCTCAGACTTTATCTCCTGAGAGGAGTGTCCGCCATCCGGGGTCTTGGGTGTGCTGGATACGCTGTCACTGAGGGAACAGAAATGAGGACTGAGGCCATGGAGGCAGCCTCCACCCGCACCCCATCCCTGGCCCCAGGCAGAGCCTCTGCCAGCCGGCGACCAGCATTGTAGGGGGCTGTGGGGTCAAACACCCCAACCAAGCATCACTGCCAAGATGTCCTTTCCCACCTGAGCCCCCCAGAGACGGCAGCACACGGCAGGATTTCCTGATCCCTGCTTCAGGGGCTACTCTAGGTTCATGGTCAAGACCAGAGCTGCCAAGCTGGGGTCCTAGCTTGGTGGCCTCTAGACCAGATCTCTCTCACCCATGCTGTGGCCTCACACCTGGCCGAGTTATGGGTCAAGAGAGGGCCCTGTGGGGAATGCAGCAGGGAATATGGCAGAGTCTGTGACATCCGCCCCCACCACAGGAACCACCCAAGACACAAGGACTCCCAGGAGGTCCCCGGAGGCCACCCTTCATACAGATGAGAATACGCTCCTGGACCCACATGAGAGGGCTGCCCTGGGAGCTGGGAAGCAAGGGTACTCTCAGCCAAGAGTTTCCTTCTCCTATAGTCTAACAAAGACTATGGACAATGCCCACAGTGCCCACTGTGTGGGACAGGATGGCCCTGTCCTCAATGCACTGGTTTTTGAGATGGAGCCTCGTTCTATCACCCAGGCTGGAATGCAGTGGCATGATCTGGGCTCACTGCAACCTCTGCCTCCCAGGTTCAAGCGATTCTCCTGCTTCAGCCTCCCGAGTAGCTAGAATTACACACATGTGCGACCACGCCTGGCTTTTGTATTTTTAGTTGAGACAGGGTTTCACCATGCTAGCCAGGCTGGTCTTGAACTCCTGACTTTGAGTGACCTGCCTACCTTGGCCTCCCAGAGTTCTGAGATTACAGGCATGAGCCACTGCACCTGCCATCAATGCACTTTTTAAACAATAGTGTTGTTGAAACAGAATCTACATACCACAGAACTCACCTATTTAAAGTATACAGTGCAATGGCTTTTAGTATATTCAGAGTTGTGCAACTATCACCACCATCTGATTTTAGAACACGTTTGGCCCCTTAAAGGAAACGCTGGAGCCATCTGTAATCACTTCCTATTCCTCTCCCCGCAACTCCCACCCGATCCCTAAGCCATCACTGGAGATTGGCCTCTTCCGGACAATCATGTAAACAGAACCATATAATATGGCATTTTTGTCTGGCTTCTTAAACTCAATGCTTTCAAGGTTCACCTGTGTGCCAATGTTGTAGCTTGTATCCGTGCTTTATTCCTTTTTATTCTAATAATAATCCATTTTATGGCTAGATTGCATTTTGTTTATTCATCCACCAGATGATGGACATTTGGATTCTTTCCAGTTGGGCTAGGATGAGTAATGCTGCCATGAACATCTATGTACTAGCTGTACTGGTAGACTCGGTTTTTCATGGCCCACTGTTCTCACTCTCTTGGGTATATACATTGGAGTGGATTTGCTTGGTCATATGGTAACTCTATGTTTAACCTTCTAAGGAACTGCCAGACTGTTTTCCAAAGTAGCTGCACTATGTTACACTTCCACCAGCAATGAGCAAGGGTTCCCATTTCTCCATATCCTCTCTGACATCTGTTATTATTTGTCTTTTTGACTAAAGCCATGCTAGAGGTGTGAAGTTTCTCAATGCACTTTTGATGAGGTTGCTAATAACCTCCTGTCAACCTGTGTAGGGTTTGGGTTGCTGTGCCGGACGCCTCTGCACGTCTGACACAGATGTCCTCCCTTCCTGGAATTTCTCCTCCTCTGGCTTCAGAGATTCCATCTCCTCCTCCTCTCCTCTCATCTCTCCTTCCCAGTCAGCTTCCCTTCTCCACCTGCCCTTAAACGTGGTACTCTACTCAGCCTCTTGGGTGGTCACATTAATTACGCCATTGTTAACCAGTACCTCTACCCTATTGATTCCCAACTCTCCTTCTCTAGTCAAGGCCTCTCATACAATGTGGAATACTATGCAGCCACAAAAAAGAATGAGTTCATGTCCTTTGCAAGGACATGGATGAAACTGGAAACCATCATCCTCAGCAGACTAACACAGGAACAGAAAACCAAACACCGCATGGTCTCACTCATAAGTGGGAGTTGAACAATGAGAACACGTGGACACAGGGACGGTAACATCACACACCAGGGCCTGTCGGGGGTTGGGGACAAGGGGAGGGAGAGCATTAGGAGAAATACCTAATGCATGCGGGGCTTAAAACCTAGATGACGGGTTGCTGGGTGCGGCAAATCACCATGGCACATGTATTTCTATGTAACAAACCTGCACATTCTGCACATAACTTAAAGTACATAAAAATAAATAAAATAAAATAAAATAAAAACCTGCAACTCTGACCACTCCCTGGACATCTCTACTGATGGTTCACAAAAACTCCCATGCACAGGTTCCAAACGGAGCTTTTCATCCTTCTCCATAACCCTGCCTCTTGTCCTGCAAGCCCTACTTCAGAACATGGTGCCACTGCCCAGGGCTATAGGCAGACAACTTGGCAATTTGGAAGTCAACCAAATTCCCTTTCCCTTACTAGACTGTGCCTCCCTTTCCCTTACTAGACTGTGAGCTTCTGGAGGACAGGCTTGCATGTTTTTGCAGCACTTGTCTGAGCACTCAGCACTGTACCCAACACATGGCACTCAAGAAATGCTGCTTGCTGAAATAAAGAACAAATGGGCTCACCAACTAAAGAATCAGAAAGACATCAAAACCATACAAGGACACAACAAAGAGAGTGTTACAAGCCAATATTCCTGATAAACACAGATGCAAAAATCCTCAGCAAAATATTATCAAACTGAATTCAACAATGCATCAAAAAGATCATTCACCATGATCAAGTGGGATTTGTTCCAGGAATGCAAGGATGGTTCAACATCCACAAATCAACAAATGTGATACATCACATTAATAATACAGAACAAAATCCACATGATCATTTCATTTTCAACAAAGGTGCTGAGAATATACATTGGGAAAGGGCAGTCTCTTCAGTAAGTGGTGCTGGTAAAACTAGATAACCATATGCAAAAGATTAAAACCAGACCCTTCTCTCTCACCATACATAAAAATCAAATCAAAATGGATTAAATCTAAGGCATGAAACAAAGAATCTCCTAGAAGAAAACACTGGGGAAATGCTTCAGGATGTTGGTCTGCCTGGGCAAAAGCTTTTTAGATAAGACCTCAAAAGCACAGACAATAAAATCAAAAATAGACAAATGGGATTACAAGTTGAAAAGCTTCTGCACAGCAAAGGAAACAATCAACCAAGAGCCAATCTGCAGAATGGGAGGAAATATTTGCAAACTATCCATCCAACAAGGATTAATAACCTGAATATATTATGAGGAACTCAAAAAAAATCAACAGCAAAAACACAAATAACACGATTTTTTAAAGGGCAAGAAACATGAATAGATATTTCTCAAAAGAAGACATACAGATAGCCAACAGGTATATCAAAAAACATTCAACATCACTAATTATCAAGGAAATGTAAATGTAAATTTTTTTTCATGGACAGCTGTTTTCAACTCTCTTGGGAAGACACCTAGGAGGGGAATTGTTGGTTACACAGTAACTGTACGTTTAACCTTCTAAGGAACTGTCAGACTGTTTTCCGAAGTAGTTGCACTATTTTACATTCCTACCAGCAATGAACAAGGGTTCCCACTTCTCCACATCCTCTCTGATATCTGTTATTATTTGTCTTTAATAATTCAGAGTCTGTGACATCTGCCCCCACTGGAGGAACCAGAATGAGATATCATCTCACCCCAGTTAAAATGGCTTTTATCAAAAAGACAGGAAATCACGAATGCTGGTGAGGATGCAGAGAAAGGGAAATGCTCGCACAGTGTTGGAGGGAATGTAAATTAGCACAGCCTCTATGGAAGACAGTATGGAGGGTCCTCCAAACACTAAAAACGGAGCTACTGTATGATCTAGCAATCCCACTGCAGGGTAACTATATCCAAAAGAAAGGAAATCAGTATGTGGAAGAGATATTTACACTCCCATGTTTATTGCAGCTCTACTCACAATAGCCAAGGTACAGAATTACCCTCAGTGTCCATCAGCAGATAAGGGGATGTTGTGGACATACACAACAGATGTTGTTCATCCATGGAAAAAGAATGCAATCCTGTCATTTGCAGCAACATGGGTGGAAGTGGAGGTCATTATGTTAAGTGAAAGCCAGACACGTAAAGATAAATATCGTGGCCGAGCGTGGTGGCTCACACCTGTAATCCCAGCACTTTGGGAGGCTGAGGTGAGTGGATCACTTGATATCAGAAATTCAAGACCAGCTTAGCCAACATGGTGAAACCCTGTCTCTACTAAAAATACAAAAATTAGCCAGATATGGTGGTGCACGCCTTTAGTCCCAGCTACTCAAGGAGACTGAGACAGGAGAATTGCTTGAACTCAGAAGGCAGAGGTTGCAGTGAGCTGAGATCGCGCCACTGCACTGTAGCCTAGGCAACAGAGCAAGACTCTGTCTCAAAAAAAAAAAAAACAAAAAAAAACACAAATATCACATGTTCTCACCCATTTGTGGGAGCTGAAAAAGTGAATCTTGTGGAGATAGAGAGTTGGCTGGTGTTACCAGAGGCTGGGAAGGGGTGGGAGGGCAGGATGAAGAGAAGTTGGTTAATGGGTACAGAAATAGTCAGTTAGAAGAAATACAATCTAGTGTTCAATAGTATAATAGAGTGACCACAGTTGATAGTAATGTCTTTCATAGTTCAAAAGAGCTAGAAAAGAGCTGGAATGTTCCTGACACAAAAGATAAATGTTTGAGGTGATAGACAGTTCCATTACCTTGATTTGATCATTATGCATCTTATCAAAATATCACATGTACCTCTAAAAAATGTGCAAGTACTATGTATTCAGTTTTTTAAAAAATCAGAACAGGTCAAATGTAATATATGAGTTGCTTAAAAAGAAAAAAAGCACAGAACCTTTTAGAAGTCCAAAGGAAGGTGCCAGGAACTCTGCCTGGCAGAATCAGGGAAGGCTCCCACAAGACAGGCCATTCGAGTGAGCATTGAAAAAGGAGGCAAAGGAACGAGAACCCAGCAATGTCTCTAGCCTGGGTCAAAATGCTGCAAGAGTAACTCTGGAAAGCCCCATGTGCAGACTGGCCCCGTCAGCCTCTGGGTAAAGAGCTGAGTGAGTGACAGGGGACACGCAGGTGCCTGAAGTCAGGGCCATCTGGGCAAAGCTCCTCCCCCAAGGTTGGGCACTGAACACTGTACAGTGGAGAGCGCTGACAGACCCCATGATTCAGGCTGGAGTAGGGGTTTCCCAACAGTTACCATCGTGCCCGGCTGTCCCCCTGGCCTTCCGAGCCCGTGTGCAGGCGGGGGAAGAGCCCCGACCGCCGCTTGATGGGACTCCGTGACTGGTTCTTCGCCGTTGCCACCACCACTGGAGGCTGCCGATGAAATCGCCAAAATGAGTGCTCCTGGCCCGAACACCGATCTATCCCTTCATCCCCCTCCCTGGTCTACAAATGGCTCCTGCTCTGGAGGGGACCCCAGAAAATAGCAGGACAGCTAGGAAGGGTGAGATCTATATTCTGTAATTGGAACTGAGACCTCAAGACTCAGGCCAGTGACAGCCTCTTTCCCTGTGTGAAGCCAAACCTCATGGCCCCAGGTAATGATCCACCAAAGACCACAACTGGCAAGCACCGTGGCTCACACCTGTCATCCCAGCACTTTGGGAGGCCGAGGCGGGTGGATCACGAGGTCAGGAGTTTGAGACCAGCCTGGCTAACATGGCGAAACCCTGTCTCTACTAAAAATACAAAAATTAACTGGGTGTGGTAGCAGGTGCCTGTGATCCCAGCTACTCAGGAGGCTGAGGCAGGAGAATCAATTGAACCCAGGAGGCAGAGGTTGCAGTGAGCTGGTATCACACCACTGCACTCCAGCCTGGGCAAAAAAAAGACCTTGTCTGAAAAAAAAAAAAACCCACAACTTTGGAGGAACATGGGGTGGGGGAGCCCTAGACACTAAGAAGGTTAGAACAATTCAGGGGGATACAGACCAAGAGGCACAGAGCCAGGGAAACCCTGGAGGGATCTGGTTCACCCTCTCATTTTACCAGTGAGGAGGCTGAAGACCAAAGAGTGAGACTGCATCAAGGTCATCCAGCAAATCACTGGCAGGTGAGACCTCCTGACTCTCCATTCACAACAAACAGGGCCCAGCAGGTGTCACAAGGAGACTGAGAGCCGTGAGGCCGGGTCCACAGGCACTGGCAGGCGGCCGGGGGCAGCCAGATGGCTTCTGCTCTAGACAGTTTCTCCCGGCCTCACAGCGGAAAATGCGTGGTGGGAGCTTGAGGAAGGCAGACAGGAGCCAGGAACCAATCTTCAGAGGCCACCAAGCCTCCAACCCAGGCCCCAGCTCCTGCCATGTACACGCTATGCAACCGCAGGAGAGTGGTGAGATCTGGCCAGAGTCTCCCGAGCCTCCCGAGTCTCCTGATACACAGCATGGAGGCAGGGCCCTGCTCTGCTCACTCCACCCACCCTCAGGGGTAACAGCATAATAGCTAGGAAAATATTTACTCAATTAAATTAATTATGCAAGGCCATTTATAATACTCATAATTAGTACCATGGTGAGTAGGTTTTGCTACTTGGAAGAAAAAGAAGAAAGGAAAATCCCAGTCTATACAAATCCAAAGCCACTTTGCTTTAGTTAGTTTGTTTTTGAGACAGGGTCTCGCTCTGACACCCAGGCTGGAGTGCAGTGGCCCAATCACAGCTCACTAGAGCCTCGACCTCCCTAGGTAGAGGTGATCCTCCCACCTCAGCCTCCCAAGTCGCTAAGACTACAGGTGTGTGACACCGTGCTCAGCTAATTTTTGTGTTGTTTTGTAGACACAGGGTCTCACTTTGTTGCCCAGGCTGGTCTCGACTTTCTGGACTCAAGGGATCCGCTCTCCTTGGCCTCCAAAAGTACCAGGATTTCAGGTGTGAGCCACTGTGCCCGGCCCACTTTGCTTTATGAAAGACCCAACTACATGATCCCCTCCAACCCCCCAGCCCCTGCAAGTCCATCAGGCTCAAACTTACAGGCCTACAGGACCCTATTTCCTTGGGAACTGCGCACATGGTGATGAAGAGCATAGACTTTGGATCCAGCAGATTTGCACTGAAATACCAGCTCTTCGGCTGAGCTGAGTGGCCTCTAGCAAGTTACTTAACCCCACTGGGCCTCCTTTTCCCCAAATGGGAACAGAAGGACACATCAGCACCTGCCTAGGACAGCTGTTATGGGCAGCAGGTGAGATCCCATCCACGGGTCACTCAGCTCAGTGCCTGGTGCACAGTAAGCTGGGGCAGCTACTGCTGGCACCAGTAATAACAAAGCAAGGACACCCCCTCACAGTCACGGGTCCCAAGGCCCTGTGCAGCGAAACACACCTCAGGACCATTTTGCAGGGCTGGCCCTGAGGAGGAGTCTAGCTGCCAAGGAAACTCAGCACATAGGGCAGGAGGGCTTCTCAGGCCATCGCAGCCAACCCCAGGTGCTGTCTAGGATGGAGGCACCAAAGGACCATTTTCAGAAGTCAGGGCTCAGAGTCACCCCCAGCAGCCTCAGTTTCCCTCCATCATCCAGCTTGCCCTGATCAAGTCGCCTGCCCTCGCCTGGGTGGGGGCATCCTTCCTCCATAGGTCACGGGGGGCCTCCCTGGGACCCACCTGCTGCCCCAGGGCCACTCACCGAGAAGGTGGTCTTGGTGACCTCCATGCTGTTGTGGGAGATGCCGCCGCTGAGGCTGCCGGGGATGCCTCCACTATGCGACTTCTTCTGGCCTCCCACCATGGTCTCCATGGAGTGGCTGCGCACGCGGATGGCCCTCTACGGAGAGAACGAGGGCCTGGGAATCAGCATCTGGGTTCTCTGGATGACCCTGCCCTCTTCCTGGAGTCTGTAGACACAGCCGTCAGCATGTGTGTGTGTGCGTGTACATGCGTGTACATGCACACACACACACACACACACACACACGGTCACAGAAGCCCATACTCCAGCTACTCCAGCTTACAGAGGATGTTCCCACATTCTGCCCCATACTCTGGGCCTGGCTAGAGGCAAGGCACAGCCCTGGCTGGAGGAAATCTGAGGGGTCAGTGCCCCAGCTCCCCTGCAGGGTGGACAAAGGTTATCTTCATCTTACAGGTCAGGAAAATGAGGCTTGGAGCTCAACCAACCTGTACGACACTGGCCTAGCTCCCAGCCTCTCTAAGCTACAGTTTCCTCATCTGTCAAATGGAAATTCTGTGTTTCACGCAGGATCGTGGTGGGGATTCAACACACCCAGGTGCCTGACCACCAGTGGACTCTTTTCCAGAAAACTGAGCCTCCATCTATAATATGCACTGGATTATACCCCAAAGTGTGATTGGTGCAACTTGGAACATGCTGGCCGTTGGTGAAAGCGCGTGAGGGTCTCTTACTCATCTGTGCATTGAGCCAGGCACTGAGCCACCCCTCCCACTTGCAGGGGCGTCAGACACGCCTTCGTTACGGCCCACGGTTTGACACAGCCACCAGAAGAGGAGAGGCATCTCAGCCTGGCAGAAGTGCAGGGTCTTGGGGGGCCCGGAGCTACTCAGGCCACCCAGAGGTAAGGCCACATTGGCAAATGGTGAAGTCCCCAAGAGAGGGCCACCAGGGCCGTCAGGGCTTTGTCAAAGTGTGTGTGAGGGTGAGAAGAGCAGCTAAAAAACAAGATTATGGAGCCACAGAAGGGGTGGATCTGGGAAGTGACAACACCCTCAGACTGCTCTGGATGGGAAGGGGAGTGTTACAGTGGAGCGGAGCTCAGCGTGCCCTCAGGGAGGATTTCCTCACAAGAAAGTCCTAGGGGCTTCTGGTTGCCCCCTGGATGATGCTCTCTCTGGCTCCAAAGGCCCTCAAAGATGATGTGAGAGTTCTAGGGAGAGAAGGTTCTCTAAAGTAACCCCAAACCAGTCATTCAACCCACCACTCAATCTGACCGGGCGGCAATGAAACTTAGAAGCATGGAAGCTTTAGCGTTTCACCGCCAGGATTTGTATCTGGGCTCTCTACTCCAGCACCCACTGGCTGAGTATGCCCGGTTAGGTTACCGAGCTTCTCTGAGACTTAGCAGGGAAAGAGATGTGGGTGTCTATGCCAGGGGGTTGTTGTGAGAACACACACAAAGCTCTGAGGAGAGCGCCCAGAACATCGCAACTATCCAACACGTGTGGCTACTCTTACTGGTAATAACAAACACACAGGCACGGTGGCTCATGCCTGTAATCCCAGCACTTGAGAAGCCAAGGCGGGCAGATCACCTGAGGTCAGGAGATCGAGGCCATCCTGGCTAACATGGTGAAACCCCATATCTACTAAAATACAAAAAACTAGCCAGGCATGGTGGTGTGTGCCTGTAGTCCTGGCTACTCAGGAGTCTGAGGCAGGAGAATTACTTGAACCTAGGAGGCAGAGGTTGCAGTAAGTCAAGATCTTGCCACTGTACTCCAGCCTGGTGACAAAGCAAGATTTTGTCTCAAAAAAAAAAAAAACACTGTTGCAGGCTTCCCAAGTGCCTAGCACTGTGCCAGGAACCGGAGAGCCACAGCGGTAAGGTCAAGAAGTGCAGGACGCAGCCCCTGCCTCCAAGGAATTCCTATCATGGGGCAATGCTAGAAGACACTGAGCCGATGGTGCTCCCTCTGTGTTAATTAGGCGTCCAGGCTTCCCCAAGGGCAAAGACTCCCAGACACGAAGATTATCCATTGCTCACATACAAGTACCAACCCCTCTGCTCCCTGAGCTCCCCGCTGGCAGAGCCAGGGTCTGGCCGAACTTCTCCTCCAGCTCCTCTGTGGGACGCAGGATTCAGTCACGAGCAGCCCAAGGCAGTCAGTTAACCTAACCTCTTGCCAGTGGCACAGGAGGGAATATCTGTGGGTGGCTCTGGGGAAAGGCTTCCTCAATGATTCCCAAAAGAGATTTTACATGTCGGCAGTAAAACCAGGACAATGAGGGGCCGAGCCTGAGGACAAAGCTGACAAGCTAGGGAGAGCTGCCGACTGAGCCATGAGTCAGCTGGGCCTCCTTGTACACGAGCTCATGGATTTCCTTATCGTAGTGTGAGCTGGTCGAGTGGGGGGTGCTCTCAGAACTTGTACACGAGCTCATGGATTTCCTTATCATAGTGTGAGCTGGTCAGGTGGGGGGGTGCTCTCAGAACTTGTACACGAGCTCATGGATTTCCTTATCGTAATGCAAGCTTGTTGAGGGAAGGTACTCTCAGAACTCCAGCTTCAGAAAGCTGTGCAGAAGGATGAAGGCATGAGCCACGCTCCCTTCCCCTCTGTATTCACACCCATGCGCATACAAATCTTTTCTCTCACACACCCCATGTGTAACCACAGATGGTCTCATGTGGGAGAACAATTCCTTTCCTCTTTTGAAGCATCTTAAGAAGAGCTCGGTCTGCAGCAAAGTGGTCCCAAGAAAACACCAGGCTTGCTGCTCCTAACCCAAACAGCAGGTCTCCCCAGGGCCTCTTGAGCCAGGACTTCTCCAGGCTTGAGAAGGGCAGAGAACCCCATCCCGCCTGCTTTTCTCTCCTGACTAGGAACACAGACTCAGGAAGGCCATTTGTAAACCTGACAGCCCCTACATGAGTTTCTGACGTTGTGGTGCGGAGCCCACCAGCTTCATAGCCCTTATTTGATCGGGCCTCTCTTATATGAGCTGAAGACGCCCCTTGAGGGACATCATCTGTCACTCCCTCCCTAGACCCCAGAACAGAGTCTCCTAGCAATGGTTTCCTGCCGCATGGCTAAAGCAGTCAGCACATTCTCTTTACCTGTATCGCGAGCATCATAAAGCTATGTGCCCTTTGAACAACCGAGGGCAGGACAGGGGTGATGGCACACTGAGATGTCCTTGGAGGAGCAGTGAGCTTCCTTTCTTAAAATAAATAAATAAATAGCGACAGGGTCTCCCTGTGTTGGCCAGGCTGGTAAACTCCTGGGCTCCAGTCATGCTCCTGCCTTGGCCTCCCAAAGTGCTGGGACTGATTACAGGTGTGAGCCACCATGCCTGGCCGTGGCAAAGTTCCTTGAACAAGTTAAGTGCTTCATAAATCTCAGCATTTATGGAGCACCAATCACCCATCAGCCAGGCGTGGTGGCTCACACCTGTAATCCCAGCACTTTGGGAGGCCAAGGCAGGTGGATCACCTGAGGTCAGGAGTTTGAGACCAGCTGGCCAACATGGTAGAACTCCATCTCTACTAAAAAATACAAAAATTAGCTGGGCATGGTGGTATATGCCTGTAGTCCCAGCTACTCAGGAAGCTGAGGCAGGAGAATCGCTTGAACCCGGGAGGCGGAGGTTGTGGTGAGCCCAGATTGCACCACTGTACTCCAGCCTGGGCCGACAGAATGAGAATCTATCTTTTAAAAAAGAAAAAAGAAAAAAGAAACTCAGCATCTTTACATTCTCTTGGTGCCCTTGTGTGTTGCCACCACCATCATCAGTGACACTTCAAACTAATCACGGACCTTCTGACACACAGTCAGATGCCACACCATGACCCTGCAGTCAACGGCAGACCACACATACGACACAGGTCCTATTCAGATTCTAACACCACTTTTCTGTATTTAGAAGTCCAGATACACAAACACCTGTCTTTGTGTTACAAATGCCTACAATATTCACGCAGGAACCTGCGGCACAGGGCAGTAGCCTGGCGACCACCAGCTCTCTACCAGTGTGTGTAGCTGGCTGGACCATCCAGGTCTGCATACACCCTGCTGTTCACACGATGACCAAACGCCAAGGACGCACTTCTCAGAACGTATTCCCCTCGCTGGGCAACACGTGATTGTATTCCTCCCTGTCTCTTTCCCAGAAAGGAATCCATGCGGGATAGAATCACTCCTGTGTAACGGTATCTGGCCTAATGAGCTTCGCATACATGCTCTTTTGAATTTCTACAACTCTGAGATGCAGAGAGGACAGGCATTGGACAGAAAAGGTTTTGAAAGGCCACAAAGAAGTTAAGAGATGGACCCAGGATCCAAACACAGGACCCTGGGCTCCAGATCAAATGGTCCCTGTATACTAAAAAATCCTGATTGAAAACATAATTCAACTGGTGGATGACCTAAGGATGACTAGAAACCAAGAATTGTCAAGGCCCCCACCAAAAGAAAAAAATATCTCAGAGGTAGCCAGGCACGGTGGCTTACACCTATAATCCCAGCACTTTGGGAGACCAAGACGGGCGGATAACCTGAGGTCAGGAGTTCAAGATCAGCCTGGCCAACATGGAGAAACCCTGTCTCTACTAAAAATACAAAATTAGCTGGGCATGGTAGTGCATGCCTGTAATCCCAGCTACTTAGGAGGCTGAGGCAGGAGAATCACTTGAACCCAGGAGGCAGAGGTTGCAGTAAGCCGAGATCGTACCATTGCACTCCAGCCTGGGCGACGAGAGTGAGACTCTATCTCCCCCGCAAAAAAAAGAAACCAAGAATTTTCAGCCCCCACCAAAAAATAAAAATCTCAGAGGCTGGCGTCAGGGAGGACACTGGCTCCTCAAATAGCCCTGGTACAGCCACCGGAGTCGGCGAGGTAATGAGGAGATGACGGGCTGGATAAGTGTGAGGAGTCAGCATTCTGTCCCTCTAGGGTGGCAAATGCAGGACAGACGCCAACTCTGCTCCAGGAGACCATGGCTCCAAACCAGGAGTGGAGCGGGGCCAAGCGCAAGGCCTGGGCGCTCTCGTGGACTCCCAAAACCGGGGGCCATCCTGACATCGCAACTCCCTGTCAGGAGGAAAGGGAGGGGCAAAGATGCCAAAGGCCAAGGATTCTGCACAGGGCCCTGCTGGGCTCCACCTACCATCACTGGCACTGCGAGGGAGACCTGACTACAGACACCTCCCTGCAGGTACAGCGGGGCCAAAGATAGCCAGGGATCGCTGCAGCCTCTCCTGCCACTAGGGGTCAGGTCAGACCAATGCATCAACTATCACAGTCCCTCAAAGGCTGGGAGAAATGAACCCAGCAGCTCCCTGCTTGCCAAGGCCATGGCTCTGTCACAGCCAGCCCGGCAGCCTTCTCCTCCCTGGTCCTCTGCTCCCACTCTGCGCGAGGAGGTCAGCGGAGGACTGGGCGAGCTCAGCATTTCTCACAACGTGGCATGCCTGTGCTCTATGCCATGCCATGTTGGTACAGCAGGCACTGTCACTTTCTGCTGCATTACGGATCAATAAAAGCCGTAATTATCAACAGCTGGCAGCGACTAAGAATGGCATTTGAGAACAGTCTAGAGATCAACATCTTTCACAGGTGAACCATGTACAGCTCCTTTATCGTGAAAAACGTTCTCGCTGGACTCCTGAGAATGTGCTCACAGACCGCCCACCCCAGGGGTCCCCCAGACGGCACCTGCAGTGCCAACGTCAGGCCCTACCTGTTTATCCCACAGGAACCACTTTTCATTGGAGTGACCACTGCAAACATCTACTCTTTATAACTGGACTTTTTTCTGAGGTCTAAGTGAAAATGCAAACTTTAGAAGTGTTTGCAGAACTAGCAGATTGCTGACAATATCTCCAAGCCGCTCAATTTGAAAAGTAGGTCTAGATCTCCAAAAGCCAACTGCTCTGTGTCTCCTGGGAGAAAGACTTCTATTACAGCTGGGAGAACAAAAGCAAGCTGTGAGGAGCCGCTCTAAGGGGTGTGAGGTGCCCGGTGGCACAGCACAGGGCAACGGTGGCTCTGCTTCTTGGGAGAAACACCAAGGGTCAGCACTGAAGTGAGGGAAGAACAGCCCCACAAGAGGCAAGGATGGATGGCTGAGGTGGCTTTCAGCCCTAGGGAGTCCCAGTTACATTCCCATCGGCCTGCGAAACGAGAACTTTGACAGGGAGGAGGCCGGGCACGGTGGCTCAAGCCTGCAATCCCAACACTCTGGGAGGCCAAGGCAGGCAGATCCCTGAGGTTACGAGTTTGAGACCAGCCTGGCCAACATCATGAAACCCCATCTCTACGAAAAATACAAAAATTAGCTGGGCATGGTAGTGGGCACCTGTAGTCCCAGCTACTTGGGAGGCTGAGGCAGGAGAATCGCTTGAGCCCATGAGGCAGAGGTTGCAGTGAGCTGAGATCGCGTCACTGCACTCCAGCCTGGGCCTGGGCGACAAAAGCGAAACTCTATCTCAAAAAAACTTTTTAAGAAAAAGAATTTTGACAGGAGGAGATAAAAGCATCCAATTTTCTTTCTGGAATCATTTCAGGTATCACTTCTTTCAAGAAGGATCCCAGGAAGGTGTGGGTGAACTCCACAAGCAGTGTCCTGCTGATAAAACAGCACCACCCAAGGTGCCCAGGAAAAAATGTCAAAACTAAAGATGGTTTCCTGAGCTGGGCCGGACACACAGGCCTGGCCACAGGCAAGACCTAAGCATCATAATCCACCCCAGGCCCCAGGCCTCCATGCGGCTGAGCATGCCCCACCCCCAGCTCAGGCCTCCACACTTGGGAGATGTGAGGTAATGATGAAAGGGACAGGGAACAGGAGCTCGTGTTCCCCACCAGGGAGGGAAAAAAGCTGGCCACAAATGGCCAGGCGGGTAGCTCATGCCTGTAATCCCAGCACTTTGGGAGGCCCAGGTGGGCAGATCACATGAGGTCAGGCGTTCAAGACCAGCCTGGCCAACATGGTGAAATGCTGTCTCTATTAAAAATGCAAAAATTAGCCAGGCATGGTTGCAGGCGCCTATAACCCCAGCTACTCAGGAGGCTGAGGTAGGAGAATCGCTTGAACCTGGGAGGTGGAGGCTGCAGTAAGCTGAGATCATGCCACTACACTCCAGCCTGGGCAGCAGAATGAGACCCTATCACCAAAAAAAAAAAAAAAAAAAAAAAATCTGGTCACAACCATCGGGGCTCCGAGCTTACTCTGTGTGACTGTGACAGTCCCTCCTGTGCCCCACGGTGCTACCTCAGGTAGGAGTGAAAGCACAATGTAGAAGCAGGTCTGTCTTCAACCTACCAGTGCAGATTTAGGGTTGAAAAGGATTCCCTGGATCACTGGATCAAAGATGAGCCGTGATGAAGTCTTAAAGCATCTCCTCTCTTGTAAACCCCTCTAGGAACACGTCAGAACCCCTGGAGTCAAACACAGATCAAGTGTGACTCCTGCCAGAGGCGGGGACTGCACAGACCAGCCTCAGGACACACTCCTTAAACCTGCCACCGGTGTTTAGCTGCTGGACCGCCTTCTCCACCGGGCGCCATGGGCAGGCTGTCCACAGCCCGCGAGCCTCTCCAGGATACAGAAATACTTGAAACCTGAAAAACCAATTGTTAACCCCAAAATACTGAAATAAACCTGAAAAACTCGAAACAAGCACCTCATTAAATGTCTACAAAATACAACATAATGTTGGCTTGCCAACTGCCGCTCAACTCTGATAGTTCTACATCAGTTACGTTTCCCGGGGGATGCGGAACGTTTTGATCTGCAGGCCACGGAGTGCGGTGGACTCTGGAAGGGAGAGTCGGAGTCTGTGAAAGGCCTGACTGGCCCCTTCCTGCCTTCCCTAGACCCAAGCCGGTTTTCCCATTTACCGCATCTCACATTCACCGTCTCTCGCTGGGCTGTCCCACCGGGCCCCTGCGGTGCTCCCCTGTTCCTCTGCTTCCTCAGCCCTCCTCTGCCTTGATCTCCCAATTTCCCCTATTTCCCCCAGCTCCCTCTGCCCATCACCACCAAAACAGGTGCCCCAGGAATCTCCCACCAGCCTGGACAAGCAGTTCGGCTTCTTTTCCCACCCATGAGAGGAATCGGTAGCTGGCCCCAACTAGGGCCAGAGGAGCTGTGCCCTGCTCTCTGCGGGGACTGACTCAGGCCTGCCCAGGCCCAGGCTAGCATGGGTGGAGTCTTAATGGAGTCGGGAGGCGGAGGGGGTGGCATCACACAGCCACTGAAAGCACAGCCTCTGGAATCCGGCAGACCTGGATTCAACCCCACCTGCTCCGTGACGGGACAATTATTCTGTGTCTTTGAGGCTTGCTTTCCTCACGTGGAATACTATGCCTGTAATTATTAAAACTGAGTATGAATTATTAGGCAAAAGTCATTATACCCAAAATAACAGCCTTCCTCATGGCACGGAGGACAGCTGTGAGTCTTCAGGTGGGAGAATGTGTGTGAGGCTTTCACTTTACACAGCCATGATGGCAGCCCACCCTTCTGAGCCTGACTGCATTTCAGGCAATATGGACCTTCGCAGGCATCAGACCCTGAACTCACGCTGGCTCGATGACAGGGTCCCGCTTATTATCCTTATGTTGTTGACGAGAAAGATGAACCTTAAGAGCCTTTAAAGACAGCGGCCAGGACCCCACAGAGCTGGGATTTTAATCGAGGTGGGTGCAGCCCTCGCCTGCACGTGAGGCCCCCAATGGGAGCTTTCCAAATCACCCTCTAACAAGCCGTCCAGCAGAACGCCAATGGAAGACCCAGAAGGCCTGCATTGGAAAGGAGGCTCTCCCTCACGTCACTGTGAGGACGCGGCCAGTCCTGTGGCGTCTCTCGCCCTGCCCATGTGTGTTAGTGAAAATAACAAGACCTTTTCTGCCACCTGCACAGGCTATGGCCAGGCTTAAACCACATGCTGGATCTAAGTGCCATGTGGACCAGCAAGCGCTCAGCAAGCACGAGATGAAAAACCTTCTCTACCCCATGCCAGGCCGGGGGCTGGCCAAGTGCCACTTGAATACCTCCAGGGACAGGGAGCTCACTGCTTCCTCTAGCAGCTGGTTCTGGAGCTTTTCCCCTGGCAAAGCCCACAAGGACCTGCCTATAGTTCCATGCCCCTGCCCCGCCAGGTCTTCCAATGCTCAGCCAGCTAGCTGGGAAGAATCTGGGGCACCCACCAGCTCCAGAAGAGCCCTAAAGCCTGTGCTCCTCGCTCCTGCCGTTCTGCCCTGGGCTCCCTGACCCAGGAGGCGGCCCTGGCTCCTCTCTACCTGTCCCTGCCGATCAGACTCCTGGGCCTGGAGGAGATGACCCAGATGAAGGACGGATGGAGAAGGTGCTGAAGACGCTGTTGGCTGCTCCAGACTCACACACTTCCTGATGGTCCTGCCCTTTGCAAACACCTGGGATGCCCTACGTTTCCTGTCACCCCTCTAGCTGGCCCCTGGGCTCTGGGGTCGGCATCCCGTGGACCTTGGACCACTTCCTTTCTTTGCCCCCACACCCCCGCCACAGCCACTGTCAGTCACTCTCATGCCCATACCTTAAAAGACTCCAGGAATCCCCCGTGGCCTCCATTCTCAAACTTGTCCTCCTCTGGGCCCAGTCCCAGCATGGCCTGTGTGTGGGCGTGGAGCTCATCATGAAGGTTGTCCAGGAGGGCAGCCCTGGTCCGGTCCTAGAAGGAAGGAGGGTGGGGATGGGGAAGCGGGCTCTGAGAACCAACGTGTGCCCTCTCCTCATGAGCTCCAGACACCTGGCCTAGGGACTGGCATTCTGCCCAGCCCAGCCACGGCATGGACCTACAGCTGAGCTGAGCTTCATGCTCGCAAATGCTATGGCTGAGAAGAAGGCTACGAGCCCAGCCCCCTGCTCTACTCCCCGTGGCCTTCTCCCCAGGTCCTCCCACCACTGCCACAGCTCCACCTCGGTGGCAGAGGAGCAGAAGGAAGAGTGAGTCCCAGCTCGGCCTCTGCCCCAGCTCCACATCCACGCACCCAACTGCCCACCGCTCCTCTCCGTCTAGACGTTCGTCCAGACCACGCACGTGGACGCCAGGGGCTGCCATTCACACAGACGAGGACTGGCCCTTTCAGCAACCCAGCCTTCACAGGCACAACTCGGCCACCGTGTCATCAAAGAGGCCAGGCCGGAGGCCTAAGAGTCACCCTACAACCAATCCCACCTCCCCCAGCGCTTACAGCCAGGAGTCCGCCAAGTCTTCCCAATCCCGACCGGAACCATTTCCTCCCATACACCAGAAGCCTCTGTCATCTCTCCTGGATTCCTGGTAAATGGCTTCTAACTGGCCACCTTCCTGCACCTCTGGCCCTGTCACCACCGTCACTCTCAATGACAGACAATCCCTCTGGCATACACGTCAAACCCCTCACTCTCCTGCCTAAGCACTTTGCTAGCAGCCTACCTCCTCCAGCTCCAAGCCCTTCTGGATCTGATCCAACCAACATCCTCAGCTGTGTCTCCCACCATTCCAGCCCCCGTGGGTCCTTAGGCCATGGCAAACCCTCGGGAGCTCCCTCAGGAAGTCGGTCTCTGGTTTTTCTTGGCCTTTTCTCATGCTGTTTCCCATGCCAGGTCAGCCCTCCCTTCCCCAGTCTTTCCTCCAGGCAGAAGGTTCATCCAATATCAAGATTCAGCTGCTCATGGGCCCCCTCCTCCAAGAAGCCTTCCCTGAACACACCCTCAATCCCCGACAGGCAGAAGCAGTCACTATCTGAACTATGCTGACCTCCATCCCGGCCTAGCAGTGGCACAGTGTACTATAATTGTCTATTAGTAATGACCCCCTCCCACCATCCTGTGAGCTCTACAGGGACAGAAACTGTCTCACTCATCCCCATATTCTTGGGAACAGAATAGGGCCTTACATATGGTAGGAGCTTTAAAAATGACTGATTGGCCGGGTACGTTGGCTCACATCTATAATCCCAGCACTTTGGGAGGCTGAGGCAGGTGGATCACCTGAGATCAGGAATTCAAGACCAGCGGGCCAACATGGAGAAATCCCATCTCTACTAACAATACAAAAATAAGGCCAGGCATGATGGCTCATGCCTGTAATCCCAGCACTTCGGGAGGCCAAAGCAGTGGACTCCCTGAGCTCAGGAGTTCGTGACCAGCCTGGGCAACATGGTGAAATCCTACTAAAACATCTCTACTAAGAATACAAAAAATTAGCCAGGCATGGCAGCATGCACCTGTAGTCCCAGCTAGTCTAAAGGCTGAGGCAAGAGAATTGCCTGAACCCAGGAGGTGGAGGTTGCAGTGAGCCAAACCACTGCACTCTAGCCTGGGCAACAGAGCAAGACTCCATCTCAAAAAAAAAAACCTATAAAAATTAGCCAGGCATGATGGCACACACCTATAATCCCAGCTACTCAGGAGGCTGAGGCAAAGAATGGCTTGAACCCATGAGCTGAGATCACGCCACTGCACTCCAGCCTGGCAACAGAGCAAGACTCTGTCTCAAAAAGAGGATGGAGGATCCCTGGATGAGGCTAACAGGAGGCCCAGCGGGCAGGAGGAGACCTTCCGGAACCCACAGTCTCACCTCCAGCTTTGCAAACTTGTCCGACTTGCAGCAGGCATTCTCGGCATTAGTGAGCTTGGTGAGCAGAAACTCCCGGAACTCTGCGCCCTGGAACAGACAAGACGGCCCTCAGGTCTCCCACTCTCTGCTGCTGCAGATCTTCAGCCACAGGGACAGTAGGCAGAGCCGGGGGCGTGGGAAGAGCCCCAAAAGGTCCCTTCTGGCAGCCGGTCATTTCTAGCCCAGGACAAGCCCACTTGCTGATATGCCAACATGGAAACCCGCGTCCGTGGTCCTGGGAAGCCTCAGTGGCACCCCTGTGACTGGAGATCATTTCTGCCCAAGGCTCCTGTGACCAGGGCTTGACATAAAAACCCTTCTTTTAGCAGAAAGGCAACCTCAGTGTCAAATAACCCAACCATTGGTCCTATGCTGGGCCAGACTAGCAGCATGAAGAGGTGGGGAGAGACCCCAAGAAAGGAGGGTCCTCCCAAACCTGCAAAAGGATCTCCCTGTTTCCAGCCTGACCTCGGCCCCATTCCAACCTGCCACTCAAGCCCTGGGACCTGGTGTCACAGATGTGAGCGGAGCAGAAGGAAGAGCATCCTACCTTCTGGAAAACAGGGGGGCTCGGCAGAGGTGGGCCAAAGGTGGGCACATCTTCCCGCGCAGTGACAGAGACCTGAATGAAACAGAGTCATGGCATAATCTGGAGGGAGGAGGTGAGCGCTGGCCCTAGGAAGCCACACTTCTCACAGCAAAGCCACTCACCTCCTTCCTCCTCCCCCTCCCAGAGTACAAAGAAAACTCTCCTGTGAGCATCTCCGGCTCAGGCCCCAGCCACTGTTCCTAGAAGGGGCCGTACGGGGCGAAGCCACCCGCAGCCTCTCCTCTGCATTCCTAGAGGCCAGAAGCAGGTTTGGCCAGATGACTGGACAGGGCCGGGAGCCTAGTCACCATGCAGCGCAGGTGCCCACAAGATGCTATCTCACCGCCTCGTTCCCCACTACACTAATCCTACCGAGAAGGCACAAGGGGAACTGCTACTCCGTGATGAGGAAACAGACACCCAGAGACACAGAGGTCTCCGAGTCACACAGGTGATTAGCCACAAGAGGAATAGAGCATCAGGCCTCTCCCCACCCGGCTCTGGGGTTCTCTTCCCAAGCCTGACTCCTAAACTCAGCCATGAATCAGAACTGCTGCAGAATTGCTTCAAGTGTTCAAACAATAAATACTGGGTTCACGGGCTTCGTCCTAACCCTGCTGAATCGGAGGCGCAGGCCCCTAGAAGCTCTCATGCAGCCCATGGACCCATGTTTGGGAGCCCTGGCCATATGCACAGGGTCAGCCAGTCTGGGGCCCAGGCTAGGAATTGAAGGTGGGGTTCCCACCTCTGGCAGCCTGAGCGAGCCTGAACGTTGGAGTGACGGCATCCAGGTTCTCTGCATGGGGGTCTCCCAGGTGTGGGACAGGCCCCAGCCTCCACCTTTCCTCTGCACGGAGGTGCCCTGATTTCACCTGTCCTCAGCCCATGAAGCTGCGGGGCTCTCAGGAGACTGCCCTCCCTTCCCTGAGTGGCTGCTGACATGAGCCCGGCCTTGGCATGCTGCCAGCCTCCCCGGCCTGTGAAGTGGGGCAGAAGCAGAGTCTGCCAGGCTAGGCGAGCAGGCAGCTGGGCACCAAGCCAAGGAAAGGCATTGCCAGAGTCTGGAGGGGAGATGGAGCGGGAGAGAGCTGGTCAGTACGGGCTTTCTCTTCCCGAGCTCGAGGCTGTCTGGTTCCCTCTGACCATCTACCAGGCACTGGCTGCCCAAGTCAAGAACTCACTCCTGGAGCCAGAATCAGGGCTGGGGGTGTGGGGAGGCTGCGAGGCCGCAGACTGCAGGTGCCTGAGATGGAGGCCACCAGGCACGCCCAGCTCTCCCTTCCGACCCCTCCTCCCCCTTTCTTTTCCAGCCTTCATCAGAGTGGTCTGTGCTGACTGCTAAGTGGCTTGAGGCATGCGCTCCAGCCAGACAGTCCCACAGCAGCAGCCCCGTGGGCCTCACAGGGGACAGGGTCCTTCCTTGGGACTTGCATTCCCCTCCCACCCTCACTGTGCGCCTCTCCTGACCCCAGTTCCAACCCAGCAGCCCGGCCTTCGTTGTTCCCCTCTTGGGACATCTGGGTCACTCGGCTGAAAGCAGAAGTTGCCTGAACACGACCCCATCTTCCTGCTTCTAAATTCAGCGCAAGCCTCCGGAGAGGGCTTGGAGGGAGGGAGCAGATGCAGGGGACTCTGGGGAAGGGCCTTCACAGCTGGAAGGAGGAAGGAGCTTGGTGTGAGTCATGAGGATGCACTGGGGACTTCAGAAAGCTGAAAACTTGACAAAGGCCCCAAGCCCAAGGGTGGCCTGGGAGCCGTGGTGGCGCACAGGGCCCTGTCCAAGCAGCAGACCAGTCGTGACAGGAACGGGGAGGGGCTGCAGAGACAGGGCCTTCCCTGGCGTGAGATTCCTGACACCTTCAAGGACTTCAGAAGTGGGAGGCAGGACAGGGTCGGGGAGGGCAAGGGGGCAGTCCTAGTGATGGCTGAGCTGGACTTTCCTTCCAATCTCACAAACTCATTTCTGAAAAATAATCCAGTGTGATGCTTCTTGCATGCTTGAGTCCATGGAGCCAACCTCCCGCCTGCTCTGATGGCTCAGTGGAACCTCAGCCCCATGGCCCCTGCCTCTGCAGCCTCAGGCCTTAAGTGAGTTCAGCTCTCAGCTTCTGTTTCCTCTGATAACGAGGGGTCCTATCTCACCAGTGGCTTGTCAGGATTCGAGACTGTGTGTATAAGGACCCAGCACTGTGTCTGGCCTGAGCAAGCTGGTGAGGGGTCACCACTGTCGCCCAGTGCCCTTTTGACTTCCCCTGCTGACCTGCACCCAGCAAAGGGCTCCTGAAATGTACAGAGTACCCCCAAACCACCTGGCAACCCACCACACACACTCCCAACCGCCCCTCCTCCCTCCCGCAGGATGTCAGGGCAGGAAGCCGCACGTTGTCTACTCCAACTTCCTCATTTCACACAGACAAAAATAGAGGCCCAGAGAGGGAGGGAACTGCCATGAGGTCACACAGCAGAGGCAGGGCCAGGACCAGAACCCAAGACTGCCCAGCCCCTCCGGGGACAGAAAGGAGCCCTTCTTCGCATACCCAGCCCCAGCCCTCCCTGACTTCTTTCTTCTGCTCACCCTCCCCAGTGGAGACCTCCTGGGGTGTGCTCAGTCGCTGAGGAAATCTCAGCCTTCTCTGCCCTAGCCCCAGAGCCTGCAGGGCTCAGCGGAGGGCCTGTTTTACTCAGGCCCCCTGGGAATCTAACCAGGTCCTCCTCACAGTCTATTAATCACCCGGGGTGCTACTGGGAGTGTGCATGGACAGCGCTTTGGGGAGTCCCTTGGAAGGCTGGTCCCCCTCCCTGGCCCCGTTCACACATCTTGCCTTCCAGCCTCAGTGTGTGCCTGGCCGGTGGTGCATGATCAAGGTCCCACAGCCTGCTCCTCCCAGGAGCCCTGCCTCTCTGCTTCTCATCACCCCTCTGAGGACAATGTTATGCTTTGCGGCTTAGAAGAGTGGGTCAAGACAGCGGGTGCGATAGCTCACACCTATAATCCCAGCACTTTGGGAGACTGATGGGGGAGATCACGAGGTCAGGAGTTCAAGACTAACCTGGACAACATGGTGAAACCCTGTCTCTACTAAAAATACAAAAATTGAGGCCAGGCACAGCGGCTCATGCCTGTAATCCCAGCACTTTGGGAGACTGAGGCGGGTGGATCATGAGGTCAGGAGTTCAAGGCCAGCCTGAACAACATAGTGAAACCCTGTCTCTATTAAAAATACAAAAATTGGCCAGGTGTGGTGGCCGGCACCTGTAATCCCAGCTACTCGGGAGGCTGAGGCAGGAGAATTGCTTGAACTCAGGAGGCAGAGAGGTTGCAGTGAGCCAAGATCATGCTACTGCATTCCAGCCTGGGTGACAGAGCAAGACTCCCTATTGAAAAGAAGAAGAAGAAGAAAGAAGAAGAAGGAGGAGAAGGAGGAGAAGGAGGAGAAGGAGAAGGAGAAGGAGAAGAAAGAAGACGAAAGAAGAAAGAAGAAAGAAGAAGGAAGAAGGAAGAAGGAAGAAAGAAGAAGAAGAAGAAGAGGAAGAAGAAGAGGAAGAGGAGGGGGAGGAGGAGGAGGAGAAGAAAGAAGAAGAAGGAGAAGAAGAAGAAGAAGAAGAAGAGGAGGAGGAGGAGGAGGAAGAAGAAGAGGAGGAAGAGGAGGAGGAGGAGGAAGAGGAGGAGGAGGAGGAGGAGGACGAGGACAGGGAGGAGGAGGAATAATAATAATAATAATAATAATAATGGGTAAAGACTTCAAGCAGCACAGCTGCAGATGGGGTGGTGCCTTTTTGGATCTCCAAGTTTTCTCTGTATGGGTGCACCACTCAGCTAAGGTCTCAGGAAAGTGGAGAAGCCAGTTAGCTGAGACGCATTTCCTGTTAGGAATGAGAAGCAAACGCTAAACGTCTACAGAAGGCCTCATCCTGCCAGAGGGTTCAGGGCACTCCCATCGCACGGCTTCATTTCAAGGATCCTTCTCAGTAGTTCCTCCTCTTCTACTGTCTATTAAAAGAAACAGGTGACTAGCAGAGCTGCCCAGTGGCTGACCTGCACTCACTGGTTCTTCTGTCCCTTCTCCGGCATCAGGAAGGCCCTGAGGCTGATTCTGTTACCTCCACGCTGAAGCCCCACTTCACCATGGTGCTTGGCACACAGTAGGCATTGAGTCAACGTGCTTCCAACCCATGAATCATGCAGTGAATGCCCATTTCACTCAAAGCAAGTGATCATACAGCCTTCAAGAAATGGGCTGGCTGTGGTAGCTCACACCTGTAATCCCAGCAGTTTGAGAGGCTAAGACGAGCAGATCAATTGAGATCAGGAGTTTGAGACCAGCCTGGCCCATGTGGTGAAACCCTGTCCGTACTAAAAATACAAAAAAATTAGCTGGGTGTGGTGGCACGTGCCTGTAATCCCAACTACTAGGGAGGCTGAGGCAGGAGAATCGCTTGAATCTGGGAGGCAGAGGTTGCAGTGAGCTGAGATCGCACCACTGCACTCCAGCCTGGGCAACAGAGCAAGACGCTGTCTCAAAAAAAAAAACAAAAAAAGAAATGCCCACGCCAGGTCTTCTCCGACTTCAGCTAAAATTGCTCAATGGCAGGGAAGCATAAGCCTGAGCATGAAGAAATCAGCCTCAACCAGAGGGAGCTGCTATTTGGTTTCTACTGCGTGTTTTGTTTTTAGAGAAAGGGTCTCACTAGGTTGCCCAGGCTGGTCTTGAACTTCTGGCCTCAAACAATCCTCCTGCCTCTGCCTCCCAAGCACTAGAGTTACAGGTGTACACCACCATGCCCACCCTCTTTTTATTTTCTCTGACGATTCACATTTGGTTTTAAAAGCTGGCGTGAATTTTGCACTGACCTGAGTTGAAATGCTGTAGGATCATGAACTCCGGAATCAGCATGGGCCAAAATTATTTTAAGGGAAACATCTTCAGGCCTCATGGTTTCCCACAATTGCAGGCTCATCTTTCCTCTCCCTTACAACAATGGTTCCTGATATTTTGCGGAGCAGGGAGCCCTTTCAGAATGTAAGGTATGGCCTCTCTCTTCAGAAATCCAAGGAAGGGCACAAATCCAGCATTTTGCACAGATCTGAAGCGGGGCACAGATGCCTCACCCACACCTTGAAAACCCTGCCTCAGTCTATCTCCCTTGAGTCCCGTGCTCACCACAGCACTGTGATACAAAGACGCTGTCGCCCAAGAGGTCGAAACTGTTTCTTGTGGAGCAGAGGAGGGGACGGTCAGCGACCTAGCCTGAAGGAGTGGGGAGGTGGGGACTTTGGGGCAGTGAGCTGCTCTGTCTCGCTGTCATCTTATGGTGAGGATGTCGAGCCATCTGGCAGACCAGTGACTGCTTGCGCATGTGCCTCCTTGGAGGTCTTTAAAATAAGATCGACCACTTGTCTGGAACAGCCAGGCCAGGGGCTCAGCCAGAGGCCGGGGTCTCCCAGGCCCACTTCTTCACCCTCACCATAAGCATTTTTGTCTTTCTTTCCTCTGTTACCACCCTTCTATCACTGCCCTTTCCTGCTAGTCCTTTCCACACTCTTTCTTTATTCAAGCTCTGTCTTACTCTAGCAAATGACATGACCAAATTCCAAATACAACACTTGGAGCTTCTCAACTCTCAAATGCCACTGAGCCTGGAGGCAGCAAGGTGGAGCAGGCGGCCTCAGAAGATCCTCCCCACCCAGAATCCAGCTCGGAATCCCAGAAACCTGAGAACTCACGAAGAATCTCTGACTGCTGGGGACTAGTGTCCTCTGGTATCACTGAATCCACACACGATGAGGTACCTGGGCCCACCACCTCCTCCTACTCGGCTTTCTCCTTACCTTGTAGGATGGTGTCTCCGTGCCTGGGGCCTCAACCTGCACCACAATGTAGGCGTGGAGGAAGTTGGAGGCTATCATGTCTGGGACAAAGGGTGTGTTTTCTTCTTGGAAGATGATGGCCACAATGTCGTTTCCAATGTGTCTCTTCCTCTGGAGCTAAATAAAAAGTGTTCAGTGGTTATAAGCCAGCTAGGAACATCGTGCAAGATGTTCTGGGGACAGAGCGGGTTCACTTTCATTGGCACACAGGAGAACTGAATTCTGAGCACGGACAGTTTGTGGTTGCTGTTTTGGAAAGGTAAGTGTGAAGGGAAGCACAGCAGTGACGCTGGGCAGCCCAGGGGAAGAGTGCAATGAACACGCGCTGTGCTTTCTGTATCTTTTGAGTTGCTTTCCTATTTGGGGAAAAGTAAGGGGGTTCTTGTTTCAATCTTTTTTTTTTTTTTTTGAGACAGGGTCTCATTCTGTTTCCCAGGCTGCAATGCAGTAGCGCGGTCTCAGCTCACTGCAACCTCCGCCTCCCAGGTTCAAGTGATTCTCCCACCTCAGCCTCTCAAGTAGCTGGAATTACAGGCACATGCCACTACATCCACAACTTTTGCATTTTTTAGTAGAGGCAAGGTTTCAGCATGTTGGTCAGGCTGGTTTTAAACTCCTGACCAGCCCATCTCAGCCTCCTAAAGTGCTGGGATTATAGGCATGAACCATTGCGCCTGGCCTTCTTTCAATCTTAAGACGTCACCAAAAGGAAAAACAAAAACGAGGAGGATGGCCAAGTTGTTAGGCAGAGGCTAGTGAGATCTTACTGACCCCTACAAAATGCAGGTCCCTGACTCAGGACTTGGGAAGAATATTTAAAAGGCGAGGCTGGGTCTCGCCCTGGGAGAGCCTGTCATTGATCTGGGAGCAACACAAACACAGGTGAAGCCACCTGAGAACGCTAACAAAGCCGCCAGCAGCAAGTGCTAAATCGGCTGCTATGCATGGAAATGCCTAATGGCTCTGGAGACAGGGGAGGGCAAAATCACAGGGCCCAACAGCAACCTGAGAGGGCTTCCTGGAGGAGGAGATGTGCTCAGTGGGTCCTGAAACGGTGAATGAGAGTGAGGAGGTGGCAGATCATGAGAACACTGATCACCTAGCTTGGTGCAGGTGGCATGGAAGGAGGATCCCAACCATAACTCCACCCCGCAAGCTGGGCCAGGTGCCTCTGCGGGTGATCTCGGCCACCAAGCACCTGGTGCATCCCTGGAACCGTGATGGGCTGTTCAAGCATGATTTTAAACGTTAAGCCTATCCTGAAGTCCAAGGCTGCGATGAGCTATGATTGTGCCACTGCACTCCAGCCTGGGTGACACAGTGAGACCCCTTCTCACACACACACACAAACCCTCTCCTGTCCATCGAGTCCTGGCTGGGTGCCTATCTATGCATTAGCTCCTTTATTAAGCACCTACTGCATGCAGGCCCTATGCTCCGTCCCTTTGCATTGAGTTTCTCATTCACTGAGCACCAGTCATATACCAAGCACCACGCTGGGCACTTTTACACAAACTGCCTCACTCCACACGCATCTTCCCGTTTCTCAGGAAGAGAAATTAATATTTACTCAGTCCCCGCCAAGGGCTGAGCTCTGTGACAAGGTATATTTCCCAAGAAACATACACAAGACTGAGAAGGCCCAGAGAGAACAGGGGCCTCAGCCCCAGGCGGGGGCAGCAGGCGAGAGGGGCCGTACAGGAACAGAGAGGCTGGAGGTGAAAGGCTGCGAGAAAACCCACATTGAACACAAAAGGAATTCTCCTTCCATTTGTTTCTGGAACATTCAGTAGCTATTTTAGAGTCAACTCATCACCTCGGTTGCCAATTTCCTTTTCTCCTAAGAAGCCGGGCACTGTGTTTACCATTTTACCTCTGCGCTCCCTCCCCAGTTCCAGCTCAGAGACAAATAGGTCAGAGTCTGGGCAAAGGCCCACCTGCGTTTCTTACTTTCCCAGACTGAAAAGGGGCAGAAGGCAGGGGGACTAACTGGGCTTGCAACAGCCAGGGACCAGCTGCACCTCTCCCAGGGGATGCATGGCTGTCAATAGCAAACGGGGGCCCACAGCAAGAGAGCACCGGGGAGAGAGGGCTCATCCAGGTCTCCCTGGTGCAGGTCAAGGCTGAATTCCTGCAGGTGTGGTAAGAGAGGAGCCTGGGAGACGAGGGAAGCTGGGGGTGGGTTAGGAGTCTCACCCAATAACCAGCCTTCCATCACTGGGGCAGGGGGTGGGGGACAAAATGAGCAGGGGCCTGGACGGTGAACAAGTGTGCTATGGGAAGCTGGCCGTGAGCTGGGCATCGCATGAGCCCTAGTCAGGAATGTATGCAATCCCCACAGTAACCCTCTACCGTGGGTGGTGTTCCCCCCATTTTACAGATGAGAAGGTTAACAGACTTGCCCAGAGTCACATGCCCCAGAGTGGCACAGCTAGCTTCAGGCCCCCATCTGCACACCCCATCATGCACCCTTTGCGACCACCCTATATGATCAGGGCACTCAGGCTCTGCTCTGTGTCTGCCCCTAATACACAGAGAAACCTCAAGGAAGCCTTTTAACCACTGTGGGCTGCAGTCTTCCCAACCATCAATGTGGGGAGAACCATGAGCCCTGCCCTGCCTCCCGCCCAGGGCTACTGAGGCACGGCCTTGGCCAGAAACGCAACAGAACGGACTGTGACGCTCCTGTGCAGCTGAACCACTGGCCGGCATGGAACGGAAACGGGGAGGGCCACGTCCCTCAGGCAGGTCAGACGAGAGGCTGGCCTTCACCTCACATGCCCTGGGCCCCCAAGGCCTCCCAAACCAGGTTACCTGCTGGGCATCTCCCTCGGTAAATGGCAGCTTTGTGGAAACGTGAAACATGATCTCCCTGTCCCGGAATGTCGTGTACACAGATTCCACCCCTGTCTGTCCGTGGGTCACATCCAGGCCTCCTCGGAACCTGTCAACAGAGCAGGGCAGGAGACGGGGAGGAAAGAGAGTGAGACCAAGTGGACAACTGAACGCAGCTTCCCTAGATATACGCCGCAGGGAAACACACGGCCAGGCAGGAGAGCTGGGGGCAGAGCTGGGGGGAACGTGGGAAAAGCAGGTAGGCCTATTATTCCAAGTGTATCAGCCCTGGCACTCTGCCCACAAATCCATTATTTACAAGACAAAGCCGGCCGGGCGCAGTGGCTCATGACTGTAATCCCAGCACTTTGGGAGGCCAAGGCAGGAAGATCACCTGAGGTCAGGAGTTTGAGACCAGCATAGCCAACATGGTGAAACTCCATATCTACTAAAAATACAAAAATTAGCCAGACATGATGGCGCATGCCTATAGTCCCAGCTACTCAGGAGGCTGAGGCAGGAGAATCGCTTGAACCCGGGAGGCGGAGGTTGCAGTGAGCTGGATGGCATTCTAGCCTGGGTGACAAGAGCGAGACTCTGTGTCCAAATAAATAAATAAAAGACAAAGTGGAACCTTCATTTCAAGGCCTGGCTGTGTCCTCTCCACACTGGATGGTCTATGGCAGGCGTCCCCATACTTTTTACACAGGGGGCCAGTTCACTGTCCCTCAGACCGTTGGGAGGGCCGCCACATACTGTGCTCCTCTCACTGACCACCAATGAAAGAGGTGCCCCTTCCTGAAGTACGGCGGGGGGCCGGATAAATGGCCCCAGGGGGCCACATGCGGCCCGTAGGCCATAGTTTGGGGACTCCTGGTCTATGGGAAGGAAGCTCGTCATCCACAATCCGAGACAAATGCCCATCCCTGGTGCCACTGGCCCCCAAGGCTGGGCACAGGCCTTTCTTGGCTCTCTGCATGGCCATGTCCAAGTCCTCTGCCCAGAGTTAGGGCGGCCAGCCATCCTGTTGGCTGGTGGGGAGCCCCAGAGGAGCACCTGAAGTCAGCCAGATGAGGTGGCAGATGCTTGACTTCTGCCCAGCCAGCCCCAAAACAGAGGCCCAATCACTGCAGCACCCGACCTGGGAGTATCCGGGGAAGTCCCTTCTCTGGCCGCCTCCTCACAGGCAGGAAAGAAAGGCACTAAGGAACTGGGTAGGCTTCCAGGAGCTGCCCCTTTTGCCTTTACACACACACACACACACACGCACACACACAGCTTCCAGGAGCTGCCCCTTCTACCTTTGCGTGTGCACACACACACACACACACACACACACACACACACACGGCTGCCAGCCTCCATCACATTCTTCAGCAGATGCAGGTTCCTTTAAGAAAATGAAATAAGATGGACCTGGAATCTCAGCATCCCCAACACTACAAGCCAGAAAATGTGGCCAGCCTGGCATAGCAGAAAGGACGCTGGACAGGGAGTCAGGAGTTCCAGGTTCTAGACTTGCTTCTGCCACTAAATCAGCACGTGGTCTTGGGCAGTATGTTTAGTCTCTCTAGGCCTCCATAAAATAGCGGTATAGAATTTCATCTCTGAGGACCTTCTGGGCTTCATATACTGTATTTCATCTATTCTAAGGCCCATGTTTTGTTCTGGGCTTCTTTGAGTCAGGGGTTCACTCTATCATCCAGGCTGCAGTGCAGTGGCGTAATCACAGCTCTCTGCAGCCTCCTGGGCTCAAGTGATTCTCCCCGCCTCAGCCTCCCAAGCAGCTGGGACCACAGGAGCACATGACAACAGCTGGCTAATTTTTATAATTTTCAAATTTTTGAAGTGACAGGGTCTCGCCATGTTGCCCAGGCTGGTCTCAGACTCCTGGGCTCAGGCAATCCACCCACCTCGGCCTCCCAAAGTGCTGGCATTATAGGCATGACTGTTGTATGGATTCCTGCCCAAGGAACTGTTCTATTTGCATCCACTCTAGTGATGCATTCTTTCAGGCCAGCGCAGCAGCTCATGCCGGTAATCCTAGCACTTTAGGAGGCCGAGGTGGACGGATTGCTGGAGTCAAGAGTTTGAGACCAGCCTCGGCAACATGACAAAACCCCATCTCTACTAAAATTCCAAAAAAAATTAGCTGGGCATAGTGGTGGGTGCCTGTAGTCCCAGATACTCTGGAGGCTGAGGTCCAAGAATCACTTGAACCTGGGAGACGGAGGTGGTTGTCAGCTGAGATCATGCCACTGCACTCCAGCCTGGGCTGAATAGAGCAGGATTCTGTCTCCAAAAATAAAAAATAAAAAAAAATAGATCATTTCCCCCAAAACTGCACAAGGCTGTCTTTCCCAAACGCCTATAAAATAAAACAGATCATTTCCCCCAAAACTGCACAAGGCTGTCTTTCCCAAACACCTAACAGGGAAGCTGGATTCTTTTCCTTCTCAGTCTGGGCCAATGTAATGAGGAAGGCAAGCCTGGTGCAGGGCCCGAGGCCGAACGTGAACGCCTTCAGGGGAATCTGCCACACTGGGTCACTCCCTGGACCACGGATCCCTTAGGAATGCAGTGAGGGACCAGAACCTGCAAAGTCATCCCTCATTTCTTGTGTGTTCTCACATGCACTCCCCAAGGATGGTGCTGTCTGCCCCTTGCTCTTCCTCTGGGGCCCTCGGTGATGGAGCTGCAGCGGCCACTTGGCTGAAACCCACCCTTTGAAGTCCTGCAGCGTGATCGTATCCCCCAACAGGTCCAAGAACTCCTTAAAAGCTGGGCTCTCCTCATTGTTCCCAAACAGCTCCTCCTCCAGGGTCTGAAAGAGAAACAGGAATAAGGGCGGGAATTAGAAAAATCCTTTGTGATGCCAAAGGAAGGAATATGGTTGCCCAGACACCCAGTCCCTTCCTTCCTTCCTCCCTGTCTCCCAGCACATCTGCTGCAGCAGTCTTCCACAGGAGGAGAGGCTCCTGGAGACTCACTCGCCAGCACTGGATCTTCAGGGCTGGTGCGTGACGCCTTTCTATGTGAGCAAAGGCTGCTGGTCAGTTCACAGGGCAAAACTGAAGCGAAGCATTCTCAGATTTGAAAGCAAAAACATGATCCATAAATAAAAAATTGATCTTAAAGCTGTCAGGTTTAATTTTTAAGAAAAAAAAGATTAAAATAAAATAAATTGATCACTGAACTTCTAACAAAGGACTAGCATCAAGAATATATTAAGGGCCAGGTGCGGTGGCTCACACTTGCAACCCCAGCTCTTTGGGAGGCCAAGGCGGGCAGATCACCTGAGGTCAGGAGTTCAAGACCAGCCTGACCAACATGGTGAAGCCCCGTCTCTGCTAAAAATACAAAATTAACCAGGCATGGTGGTGCATGCCTGCCAGCTATTTGGGAGGCTGAGGCAGGAGAATCGCTTGAGCCTGGAAAGTGAAGATTGCAGTGAGCCGAGACTGCACCACAGCACTCCAGCCTGGAAGACAGAGCAAGACCCTGTCTATATAAAAGAATATATAAAGAACTCTCAAAAGTAATCAAAACCACAATGATATACCACTTCCAACCCACGAGGATAGCCAGAATGAGAAATAAAGGCAATAAAAGGCAATTAACAAGTGAGGGTGTAGGGAAATCAGAACCACCGCATGCTGCTGCTGAAAATAAAAATGACACAGCCTCTGTGGAACACAGTTCGGGAGTTCCTCAAATGGCTAAACAGAGTTACCATATGATCAGCGACTTCAATCCCAAGCATATACCAAAGGCTAAACCAGATGTCCCCAAACTACGGCCCGCATGCGGCCCCCTGAGGCCATTTATCCGGCCCCCCGTCGCACTTCAGGAAGGGGCACCTCCTTCATTGGTGGTCAGTGAGAGGAGCACAGTATGTGGTGGCCCTCCAACAGTCTGAGGGACAGTGAACTGGCCCCCTGTGTAAAAAGTTTGGGGACGCCTGGGCTAAACGCAGAGTTACCATATGACCAGCAACTTCACTTCTGGGCATACAACAAAGACTAAATGCAGAGTTACCAAATGATCAGCAACTTCAGTCCCAAGCATATACCAAAGGCTAACCAGAGTTACCATATGATCCGGCAACCTCACTCCTGGGCATACACCAAAGGTTAACCACAGAGTTACCATATGATCCGTCAACTTCACTCCCGGGCATACACCAAAGGCTAACCACAGTTACCACATGATCTGGCAGCCTCACTCCTGGGCATATACCAAAGGCTAACCCAGAATTACCACATGATCCTACAACTTCACTCCTGGGCATACACCAAAGGCTAACCACAGTTACCACATGATCCGGCAGCCTCACTCCCAGGCGTACACCAAAGGCTAACCACAGAGTTACCATATGATCCGGCAGCCTCACTCCCAGGCATACACCAAAGACTAACCACAGTTACCACATGATCCGGCAGCCTCACTCCCGGGCGTACACCAAAGGCTAACCACAGAGTTACCACACGATCCGGCAGCCTCACTCCCAGGCATACACCAAAGACTAACCACAGTTACCATAGGATCCGGCAACCTCACTCCCGGGCATACACCAAAGACTAACCACAGAGTTACCACATGATCCGGCAATTTCACTCCCAGGCATACACCACGACTAACCACACTTACCATATGATCCGGCAGCCTCACTCCCGGACATATACCAAAGACTAGCCACAGAGTTACCACATGATCCGGCTGCCTCACTCCTGGGCGTACACCAAAGACTAACCACAGAGTTACCACATGATCCGGCAGCCTCACTCCCAGGCGTATACCAAAGGCTAACCACAGAGTTACCATACTATCCAGCAGCCTCACTCCCGGGCGTACACCAAAGGCTAACCACAGAGTTACCACATGATCCGGCAGCCTCACTCCCAGGCGTATACCAAAGGCTAACCACAGAGTTACCATACGATCCGGCAGCCTCACTCCTGGGCGTACACCAAAGACTAACCACAGTTACCACATGATCCAGCAGCCTCACTCCTGGGTGTACACCAAAGAGAAATGAAAACATGTCCACAGAAAATTGATACACGAATATCCATAGCAGTACTATCTGTAATAGCCCCAAAGGAGAAAGAACCCAAATGTCCATCTGACGAATGCTAGCCACACAATGGAATGTTTGGTCATAAACAAGAAATAACTTGCTGAAATATACTACGACCTGGATACACCCTCAAAACATTATGCTGAGTGAAAGAAGCCAGACACAAAAGGCCAGGTATTACGATTCCATTTACAAAAGGTCTAGAACAGCTAAATCCACAGAGACAGGAATTAGATTAGGGTTGGCAGGAGCTGAAGGAAAGGGGGATGGGAGTGACTACTGGCGAGTGTGGGGTTTCTTTTGGAGGTGATGAAAATGTTCTGGAGTTAGACAGTGGGAGCAGTTGCACAGTTATGTGGTTATGCTACAAACCACTAAATTGCACACTTTATTGAGATATACATTACATACCATGGCCGGGTCCAGTGGCTCATGACTGTAATCCCTGCAACTCTGGGTGGATCATGAGGTCAGGAGTTCAAAACCAGCCTGGCCAACATGGTGAAAACCCCCGTCTTCACTAAAAATAAAAAAAATTAGCCAGGTGTGGTGGCGTATGCCTGTAATACCAGCTACTTGGGAGGCTAAGACAGGAGAATCGCTTGAACCCAGGAGGCAGAGGTTGCACTCCAGCCTGGGAGACAGAGTGAGACTCCATCTCAAAAAAAAAAAAAAAATTTATTTATTTTTATTTTTTTAATATATTATATAGAATATATATATATTTATATATTTTGAGACTACATCTCAAAATAAATAAATAAAAATAAATTATATACCATTATGAATTACATGGTATGACAATTATGCTGATGTGCTCAATAAAGCTGTTATTTTTTAAAATATTTTTAACTCACCAATAAAAAAAAAAAAAGAAAATGGTCTGAAGACATAAAAATGAAAAAAAAAAACGACATAAAAATGGCCAGGCACGGTGGCTTATGCCTGTAATTCCAACACTTTGGGAGGCCGAAGCAGGCTGATCACTTAAGTCAGGAGTTTGAAACCAGCCTGATCAACATGGCAAAACCCCATCTCTGCTAAAAATGCAAAAATCAGCTGGGCATGGTGGCATACACCTATAGTCCTAGCTACTCAGGAGGCTGAGGCAGGAGAGTCTCTTGCACCCGAGAGGCGGAGGTTGCAATGAGCCAAGATCACACCACTGCACTCCAGCCTGGGCAACAGAGTGAGACCCCGTCTCGAAAAAAAAAACAAAACAAGACATGAACAGGCATTTGCACTTCACCTAAGAGGATATACAGAAGGCAAATAAGCACATGAGAAGATGTCCAACATCATCAGCCATCAGAGAAATGCAAATTAAAGCCATAAGGTGATGTCACTATGCATCTATCAAAATGGCTAAAATAAAATGTAGTCACACTACCAAATGCTGGCAAGGATGAAGAGGAACTGGATCACTCATACATTGCTGGTAACAAGAGGCACTCTAGAAAACAGTTTGGCCATTTCTTACAAAACTAAATACGTAATTACCATACAACTCAGCAGCTGTATTCCTAAGCATTTATCCCAGAAAAATGAAAACTTATGTTCACACAAAGACCTACATATAGATGTTCATAGCAACTTCATTTGTAATAGCCAAAAATGTCTTTCAACGGATGATGGTTAAACACAAACTGTGGTACAATTCTACCATGGAATACTACTCAGCAATGAAAAAGAACACAGTATTGATACACTCAAGAACTTAGATGAATCTTGCTGACTGCAAAAAAAGCCAATCTCAAATGGCTATATACTATGTGATTCCATTTATATAACATTTTTGAAATAACAATGCTTTAGGAATTGGAGAACAAATGAGTGGTTGTTAGGGGCGAGGGACTGCAGCGGGGAGAGTGATGTCCATATCCTGGTTGTGGTATTGTGCTATCGTTTTGCAAGAGAAGGGAGGTAAAGGGTACATTAGATCTCGCTGGATTATTTTTTACAACTGTATATAAATCTACAGATACCTAAAAATTAAAAGGTTAGTAATTTTTTTTTTTTGAGATGAAGTTTCACTCTTGTTGCCCTGGCTGGAGTGCAATGGCACGATCTTGGCTCACTGCAACCTCCACCACCGGGGTTCAAGCGATTCTCCTGCCTCAGCCTCCTGAGTAACTGGGGATACAGGCACCCTCCACCATGCCTGGCTACTTTGTTAAAAAAACAGTAGAGAGCTCTGCAAACAGTAGCAGGCTTAAACACTGCCTGATCAATAGGCCCTACCCACAGTGGCAGGATCCGCAAATAGCTGAAGGCTCTGCATACACGCACAGGCTGCCACGAACAGCTGAAGATGACGTAAAGACACTCGAGCCCAGCCCGCCCAGTCACTTCAAGAGAATGTCCCCTGTGGGTAATTATAACAGCAACAATAACAAAAGCAGACCTTGGGCTCCATGACTTCAACAGGCAATAGAATCCAGTAGATTTCAATAATTTTGTTTTGTTTTTTACAGTATTTCTTTTAGAATTACCTTCATTTCATGATAAGTGATATTGGTTTTCCAGCTAAAGGAGTGATATAAAAATTCCTTTAAAAATAAATGCATGTGGCCAGGCACGGTGGCTCATGCCTGTAATCCCAGCACTTTGGGAGGCCGAGGTGGGTCAATCACCTGAGGTCAGGAGCTCGAGACCAGCCTGCCCAACATGGCAAAACCCCAGCTCTACTAGAAATACAAAAATTAGACTGGCTTGGTGGCATGCGCCTGTAATCCCAGCTACTTGGGAGGCTGAGGTAGGAGAATCACTTAAACCTGGGAGGCGGAGGTTGCAGTGAGCTGAGATCGTGCCATTGCACTCCAGCCTGGGCGACAAGAGCAAGACTCTGTCTCATACATACATACATACATACGTACATACATATATACATAGATCTAAGTATTTTTTTAAAAAAACTTTTTAAAGAAAATATTTAGTTAATAGCATAGGCGAGATAAAAATCTTAACAGTGGCATAGGGTAAACAAATGCTACGGTACAGATGCTGGATATGGTCTGTGAAGGCCTGAAGGCTGGGAGACACTGTGCTCTCGAAGGGGTCAGCAAAATACAGCCCATAGGCCAAGTTTGGCCTGCTGCCTGTGTTTATAGATGAAGTTTCACTGGAACACAGACAGGCCGACTCATGTATCCATTGTTTATTGCTACTTCTGCACCAGCAAGGCAAAGTTGAGTGGCTGTCACAGAGACTCCAAGGCCCATGAAGTTGAAAACGTTTCCTATCTGGCCCTTTACCCAAAAAGGATCTACAGCATGCCGTGAAGGCATCGCAACTCTAGCCCAATGTCCTAACCTGCCCCAGGTCATGAGGCCAGAGTGTGGAAGAGCAGCTGCTTCCAGGCAACCTACATCTCTCACTAGAAAAACAATCCGGTGGCCAGGCGTCATGGCTCACGCCTGTAATCCCAACACTTTGGGAGGCCAAGGAAGGTGGATCATGAGGTCAGGAGTTTGAGACCAGTCTGGAGACGGTGTCTCCACTAAAAATACAAAACAATTTGCCGGCATGGTGGCATGGGCCTGTAATCCCAGCTACTCAGGAGGCTGAGGCGGAGAATTGCTTGAACCCAGGAGGTGGAGGTGGCAGTGAGCCAAGATCATGCCATTGCAGTCCCACCTGGGCAAAGTGCAAGACTCAAAAAAAAAAAAAAAAAAAAAAAAAAAAAAAACGAAAAAGAAAAAGAGAAACGATCCAGTGTATACTCTGGGGCACTCACTCCTCTTGCAGGATCCACATCCAGACTGATAGTAGCATTGCTGTCATTTTGATACTGGCCTTGAGCTTGACCATGCACTTAGGGAGGCGGGGGGCTTAGTCATCACTGTATCTGCCAGAGTGCATAACACAGCGCACGGAACACACGAGAGTTAGGTGAGGCTCATTTATACCCAGAGAACAGCATAGAGCTTTGATGCAACAAATGTTCATACTAAATGTCCCCCAGCTGCAGGTTTGCAAAACAATGATCTGCCTAGGTTTTTTTAAAAAAAGAATGTTATCTTCCTGGCTTTTTCCCCCACAGTAGCATCGGGTACATTAACAATACCCAGACTCCCTCTCAGAGATGGATGGCTAATGTTCCATAATTATAACTTTGCTGGAACACTGGATTGTAATCACACCTTATAAGATCTGCTTTGGTAAATTTCACAAGCAAAGAACTTTAATTAGGGGGTTCTATTAGCAAAGCTGTGAAATGATAATATGTGAAAATGATTACAGCAGCTACCTGAATAATGTCCCTTAAATTGTAAGATTCATCAGTGTTAGTCGTGCAGATCCTAAACTCTTCACCTAATTAGAATATTTTTAAGCAAACGCGTGTCTCTTATGGTCTAGTATCTCTACATGAGAATACCAGGTGTCATTTAACCAAGGAAGATACAATCATGCAAAAAAATACAGGTATTATCAGAAGATACCATTAACCTGCCATTAGTAGGGCTGACATTTTTATTCATTCATTAACTCACATAACAATGAGGTGTATTTATATGAGGGTTATATGCTAGGCTCTGAGATGATAAAAAGATGAAATGGGCGTGGAAATTTCCTCTCAAAGAGCCTCAGTCAGGAAACAGCATGTTCAGTTGGCCCTCTACCTGGGGTGTTAACAAACGTTCATGGTAGGAAACAGGCAGGGAAGACGTGAAGTCTCTGGTCAAGTAAGTACGGAAAACACTAAGTTCAACAAAGCTATAAAGAGTTCTTTACCGTGGAGGTTCTTAAAGCCTTCAAAAGGCTCTCACACCAGTGACAACCCCTCCCAAGTCATTTGCTCACAGAGTACACCATCAGACTAGAATCTCATGGAACACACTTTGAGAAACATTATTCTGGCCAATTAACTCCAAAGTAGCATGTGAATGCCACAAAAGACAGAGGCTGAGCAGTGGTGTGCGGGCAAATTGTCAGCCACTGGCTCTGCAGAGGAGGAACATAGAAACCCTGGTGTTTGCCAATTTCCATAGTGTAAAGACTTCCACCATGGCTGACTTCAAGCTGCCCACGTGATGTCACGGGACAGAGTGGCAAAGAGATGCACACAGCTGGCTCCATCACATCACTCATGTGTGGGGAGAAAAAGCTCATTCCCAGTGGGGAGAAATTTGGGCAAGGAGAGAACAGCCTACGCTCCTCCATTCCCTCTATCCAGTCTGATTTTGCTTATAACCAGCAGCCCATAAATACATATAAGCTGAGGCAGCCAGGAAGAATGAAAATTTGTGACACAAAAAAATGACATCACTGCTTAAGAATGTGCAGGCCTGCCGGGCGCGGTGGCTCAAGCCTGTAATCCCAGCACTTTGGGAGGCCGAGGCGGGCGGATCACGAGGTCAAGAGATCGAGACCATCCTGGTCAACATGGTGAAACCCCATCTCTACTAAAAATACAAAAAATTAGCAGGGCATGGTGGTGCGTGCCTGTAATCCCAGCTACTCAGGAGGCTGAGGCAGGAGAATTGCCTGAACCCAGGAGGCGGAGGTTGCAGTGAGCCGAGATCACGCCATTGCACTCCAGCCTGGGTAACAAGAGCGAAACTCCATCTCAAAAAAAAAAAAAAAAAAGAATGTGCAGGCCTTTGTGTAAGAAGTAGCTTTCTGGAAGGCCGGGTGCGGTGGCTCAAGCCTGTAATCCTAGCACTTTGGGAGGCCAAGGCGGGTGGATCACGAGGTCAACAGATCAAGACCAACCTGGTCAACATGGTGAAACCCCGTCTCTACTAAAAATACAAAACATTAGCTGGGCATGGTGGCACGTGCCTGTAATCCCAGCTACTCAGGAGGCTGAGGCAGGAGAACTGCCTGAACCCAGGAGGCGGAGGTTGCGGTGAACTGAGATCGCGCCATTGCACTCCAGCCTGGGTAATAAGAGCGAAACTCCATCTCAAAAAAAAAAAAGAAGTAGCCTTCTGGAAAGTCCTGCCACCTCCAGTCTAATTCAAACCTCGAATGTGACAGTTGTATTCCGAATGCTGAGGAATGCAGTTGAGGGCTCCTGTGCTCAGGGTGGGGACAGAAAGAGTCCTAGGTGAGAAACCACGGGACACAGTGACCCGTATGGATAGTGCTGCTTACCTGCCTGGCTTTCTGGTAAATGACTCCGAATTTGAATGTGTTGTTGACATCATGCTCATCATAGGACACAATCATCTGGGAGGCCTGGAAGATGTGGCAAGAAAGACATCAACGTTTGTGAAATTTGGAAGCAAGTGAGGAAGCACATGGACAAGGAAGCATCCCCTTAGGTGGAGGGTGAGTACCCTGGCATGAAACATCCACAGACATGGAGGGAGAGAAATAATCAGCAGTCAGCAGGCAGCTCCCAAGGTCTAAGCTGGCTTCCAACTTAGGAAACCCGGGCTCCCCCAGTAGGAACCAAACCTCTGTATCACTCATTCCATTCCCATCCAGATGTGCCAGCCACGGCTCGGGCACCTGTGTCCAGCAGTTTACTTGACCCCACTATTCAATCTGTGGTGTAAAAAGTGAAGCCAGGGCTGGGCGCGGTGGCTCACTCCTGTAATCCCAGCACTTTGGGAGGCCGAGGCGGGTAGATCACCTGAGACTGGGAGTTCGAGACCAGCCTGACCAACATGGAGAAACCCCTCACTATTAAAAATACAAAAATTAGCTGGGCGTGGTGGTGGGCACCTGTAATCCTAGCTACTCGGGAGGCTGAGGCAGGAGAATCACTTGAACCTGGGAGGCGGAGGTTGCGATAAGCCGAGATGGCGCCATTGCACTCCAGCCGGGGCAACAAGAGGGAAACACCATCTCAAAAGAAAAAAAAAGTGAAGCCAGGACCCCAAAACTAGTCAGCATGGAAAACTCTAGCCCTAATTCCAACTCTAATCAGCAGTATGATTCCCAGCAAGTCACCGCTCCTGACCAAACTTCAGTCCCCACTGCATAAAATGAGAGGTCTCCAAGAAGACCATGCCAAGGAGGAACATACCCTAACACAATATGCGAAGAAGAAATGCTGAAAACCTGCCTACTGGTTCTATCTAATTCTCCATCATGCATCAGAGAGCTGATGACTGGGATCAAAAAACTAAACTCCAGTTCCGAATCCACTGTTTTTACCTATGTAACTTTGAGTGAGCCACTTCTCTGGGGCTCAGTTACCTCATCTGTTAAATGGAGATGTGTGGTTATGAAGATTCAGTGAAAAAAAGCTGAGCACAGAGCAGCTATCATCATCATCATCATCTATATGACCCTCCAGAAGTATCAGAGCTGAACCAGCTTATTGGGGAAGAAAAGATTTGGGAGCTGTTGGGATAATCTCAGCAAAAAAAAAAAAAAAGGTCGGGGGGGGGGGGCGGGGAGCAATTCTCAGTGTGGAGACTTGAAACTTGAATGTCCCTCCCAACTTTTATATTAAAAATAAAAAGACAAGAAAATTGAAGATCATTTTTCACCTGAACAAGAAATACTAATGGATCATCTTAAAATTGGTCTAGGAAAAAAAGTTACTGTGTGTTATGGACACTTAACCGTCAAGTTATTGTCAGTTATCTTATTTAACCAAGAACTTTCAACTTGAATGATCTGAGCTGAATTTGAAGACTATTAATAAAGTTATGTTTGGAAGTTTTAACTTCAATGAAGTAACTATTTGCTATGAAAGAAACAAACATTGAATTACTAGACAAAGATGGTGCAATATCTGTTTTGTTTTTGTTTTATGAGGCTCTCGAGAATCAACCCAACGGAAGCATTTCAATTCACTTGACTGAGAAGCATGTTTGGTATCAAAAGGGCGCAAGAAGGCACTGGTGTGAAAAGTTTGATCTCAGAGGTTGGTCAGTTACCGTGGTGCACTTTCTGGTCACTTTGTACAATGTAGATTTGAAGCACAGTGATGAAAGCATTAAATGCGACATTTGAAAAGCAAAAAAAAAGGAGGGATTCAATCACGTGTTACGCGAGAGGCAGAACGAGCCAGGCGCAGCTTCTTGGCTGGAATCTGGGCCCCATGTGAGGTTGCCACACACTGTGTACCTCTGTGAGGCTCTCCGCTGTCTGGGGAAATGGACACTTCCCAGCTACCCCAGCGAGGGCGCTGCTACCCGACCTGGAGCCCTACCACTCCGGCCTGGGTGAGTCACAGGGAGGAACAGCTGCCCTGCCAGGGAGAGGCACCAGGCCATGGAGAACTTCCAAAGAATGTTCTAAACTCTGAAAATTTTAAAAACACACACATATGTGCATTTCAGCCAGATTAACATCCCAGCCGGACTCAGCAGTCCTTCAAATGTAGAAAACATGAAAATACAGCTGCTCTTCCATTATTACCAAGGCCGGAGGCTTTCCAAGTCATGGAGAGAATGGCGCAAACAGACATCATTGGTCCTCTCAGTGGCTATGATTTGACAACCAAAACTGCCAAACCTAGAGTTAAGTTTAGACATTTAGGATGGGGTTTTCATGTCTGGTTAAACCCCACTAATTCCGTTTGAATTACAAAGGGGAGGTCAGTCTGCATGATAGAAAATGTTCAATGGCATGCAGCACACTCCTATTATCAACAGATGCTAAAGGAGCTGAACACAGGCATGTGGAAGACGAGCGCTCTGTGCAGGAGAGGACTCCGCCATTCGCTCAGCCACTGCAGACGGATAAATGGCTGCTTCTGAGAGTGTCATGCCCAATCCTGAACCCTGGAAGTGCTTGTTCCAGCTGGGCACGGTAGCTCATGCCTATAATCCCAGCACTTTGGGAGGCTAAGGTGGGCGGATCCACCTGAGGTCAGGAGTTCAAGACCAGCCTGGCCAACATGGTGAAACCCTGTCTCTACTAAAAACACAAAAGTTAGCTGGGCATGGTGGTGGGTACCTGTAATCCCAGCTACTTGAGAGGCTGAGGCAGGAGAATCACTTGAACCTGGGAGGCGGCAGTTGCAGTGAGCTGAGATCGCACCATTGCATTCCAGCCTGGGTGACAGAGCAAGACTCTGTCTCAAAAAAAAAGTGTTTGTTCAAGGGGATTCTGGATGTCTCTACTGGGATGGGGCCTCTCTTCCTCACCAGACGTTTCATCTCATGGGTACCGGTTGTCAGAGTTGGGACTCGGAACAGACAGAGCCGACCCCAGCAGGCCTCAGCCGCTGCAGCGTGGCCCGTGGCAGAAGCTCCGAAGCACGGCTCTGCTTCTGATTTCCGTCTCCAGAGCCTGCTGGCCCACGAAGAGGCAGTCGATGCACTGGGTCTTCTCCTGTGGCCAATTTCAAGTAATTCATGGTCCATGGTGATTTACGTCATCTCATGCCATAATGATCCTTCAGTGGGTTTATTATTGCTGCTCCTCTTCCCACTCACACCCCCATATCAGAACTGGAGTCAATATCAGGCCAATTCACAGGAAACGGTTATCAGAAAACCACCCATTTTATGAATGAAGGCAGCAGAGACTCATAAGGCCTGAGAGCTGCAGTAACACAGCCAATGGCAGGGTAGCTATCTGGCCTTTCACTTCTTAGTGAGTTTCCGCCTGCTGTACTTCCTGCCCCTCCATGACAGCAGACAGGATCTGCATGAGCCCCTCCAACACTGGCCTCAGGGAGGTACCACTGTGATGCAGTGGAGAAGCTATAACACTGCTACACCCTCTGTCACCTTTACAACAGCCTGGGGACCGGTTTGACTGAGCTGGAGGCCTAGGCATGGCTGAGGACAGGTTCCCCGTGGACCAGTTTGCGAAGGGGAGGGCAGGGAGAGAGGAAACATGAATGCTTATTATGAAGACCCCAAGAAACCCCACTATGATGCAAAGAACTCCCCAAGGAGCCCCGGGTCTGCAAATCCTTGCCAAGCTGCAGGCCCCCATGGCAGGAGGCATGAAGATCTCACCTTGGGGTACAGGACAGGGTTGAATTTCAGTCCCACCGCATCATCACAGAAAGCCTGAGAAGGGAGAACACACAGTTCAGGGCTCACCTCTATAGAGGACATCCCTCCACGAGAACGCGGCACGGGAGGGCAAGGCATGCGGGTCAGGAGGCCTGGGCTGGATTCCGACTGCTGCGTGCCCAGGAAAGTCAACTCGCCTTTCTAGGGTTTGCTGGTAAAGTGCAGGAAGGGGTCAGACAAAGCCTGAGACTTGTCTCCGTTCTGGCCTGAAGACGGTGCCAAAAGCTACCCAGCCCACAACTGCCACCAAAGGTATTCAGCACAATTCTGTGACATTCTTGCTCCCAGAGTAAGATCCAACCAATCCAGCTGACTGTCCTGCTCATCCCACTTTGCTAACTCAGTTCCCAAGTTTACGGGCTCCTTACTCAAGGGGGTGGTCAATCTGGACCATGCTTCAGCCCGACTCAGGCCTCCCCTCTGCTGTGAAGGCTCCCCTGGCCGCCCCATCCCTACTCCTCCACTGACGTCCTATGGCGCTCACCACATCCAGCCCTGTCTTTCCACTTCTCTCACTTCCCAAACTAGCTGTGAACTACATGGAGGTAGAGACCATAGATGAGACTGTTCCTGAGCAGCCTCCACACCAAGGATGAGCTGGGAAGCGGGAAGGAAAGACAGAGGCATCTGCCCACAGCCCTCCGCGGCCCCAACCCATGTTGTCAAGGGCCAAAGAGTAAAGTGGCCTCGCCTTCCCCAAGGGCTGAGCCTACCCCAGACATACCTGCACCCCTACTCCAGAGGCCAGCCCTGGGCTAAAAGAGGAAGACACCTTCTCTCACAAGTTAATTTCTCACCTTTGCAATCTGAGGGACGCTGGGAAGCTTGCTCAGTCCAACCAAGGGGATCCGCTCATGCACCGTCTTCAGTTTGGACCTGCATAAGATGGGAGAAAAAACCAACGTCCCTCAGAAACAGTCAAGGCGGGCATGGTAACTCTCTCCCATCATCCCAGCCCTTTGGGAGGGCGAGGTGGGCGGATCACTTGAGGTCAGGAGTTTAAGACCAGCCTGTTCAACATGGAGAAACCCCGTCTCTACTAAAAATATAAAATTTGCCAGGCGTGGTGACGGGTGCCTGTAATCCTAGCTACTCCGAGGTTGAGGCAGGAGAATCCCTTGAACCCTGGAGGCAGAGGTTGCAGTGAGTCAAGATCCTGCCACTGCACTCCAGCCTGGGTGACAAGAGTGAAACTCTGTCTCAAAAAAAAAAAAAAAGGAAAAGAAACAGTCAATGAGGAAAGCGGCTGAGATGACAGCACACAGGGCACTTGCCTGAGGACTCCCTGAGGCCAGATGGGCCTCATTTGGCCCGATACATGCTGGGCTCGCACTCGCACGGTGGGAAAACACAGTCCCACTTAGGTATGCTGGGAGGTGGCTACTTAAAGAACATGCCTGATACATTTGTCTGCCACTGAAATACGGGAAATGCAAATAAGGTCCCCATTATTTTTTGGTTTGTTTATACATTTTTGTGTTCTCCCAAGGAACTGAGCACAGCTTCCAGATACATTTGGGTTTTGTCATGAAATTAAGCCTTTATGAAAAGAAAACCTAGTATTTGAAAATCTGGGTTTACTCAAGATATAAATGGGATGGAATCTGCTTTATAAAGGGATTTACCATGAGAGTCTAAATTTAGCCTGTTCCCCTCATTCATTTAGCACATTATGAAAAGGCTGGATTTTACTGAATGCTTTTCTGAATCTGAGGAGATAACCATATGGTTTTTAATCTGTTGACCTGGTGAACATTTCTGTTGAGCCATTTTTTGATTCCATGGGTAAAAGTCTACTTAATTCTGATGTATTATTTTTAATATCCTGCTGAATTATTTTATTTTTTATTATTATTTATGTATTTATTTTGAGACAGAGTTTTACTCTTATTGCCCAGGCTGGACTGCAATGGCGCGATCTCAGCTCACTGCAACCTCCGCCTTCTGGGTTCAAGCTTTTCTCCTGCCTCAGACTCCTGAGTAGCTGGGATTACAGGTGCCCGCCTATATTTTTAGTAGAGACAGGGTTTCGCCATGTTGGCCAGGCTGGTCTCAAACCCCTGACCTCGGGTGATCCACCCGCCTCAGCCTCCTCAAAGTGCTGGGATTACAGGCATGAGCCACTGCACCCAGCCGAATTCAATTTGTTAACACAGCAGTCCCCCTTACCCATGGTTCTGTTTTCCACAGTTTCAGTTACCTGCGGTCAACCATAGCCAAAAAAATATTAAATGGAAAATTCCAGAAGTCACTCATAAGTTTTAAATTTTGTGCTGTCCTGAATAGCATAATGCAATCTTCCAGCATCCCACTCCATCCACCTGGGACGTGAATTCTTGCTCTGTCCAGCGTATCCACGCCCCACACATCAGTCCCTTAGCAGCCATCTCAGTGATCAGACTGGCTGTTGCAGCATCTCACTGCTTGTGTTCAAGGCACCCTTATCATACTAATAACGGCCCTGAAGTCCATGGTCCATGAGTGAGGCTGTCAATTCAAATATGACAGAAAGAAACTGTTAAGTGCCTCCTTTAAGTAAAAAGGTAAAAGTTCTTAATAAGGAAAGAAAAAACTTATATGCTAAGGTTGCTGAAATCCATGGTAAGAATTCTCTGTGAAATTGTGAAGAAGGAAAAAGAAGTTATTGCTAGTTTTGCTGTTGCACCTCAAACTGCAAAAGTTATGGCCACAGTGCATAAATACTTAATTGATGAAATGAGGATTAAATATGTGGGTGAACGATATAAACAGAAACGTGTTTCCATTGATGAGAGTCAGGTTTGGGACTGTCTTACATTTCGGGCATCCACTGCGGGTCTTGGAATATCTCCCCCAAGAATACGAGGAGACTACTGTATTTTATTTAGATTTTCACAGCTCTGTTCAAAAGCAACACTGGCCTATTTTTTATTTTCTTGTTCTTCCCTTGCCAGGTTTTGATATCAAGGTGTTATTCCAGCCTTGTAAAATTGCTGGATAGCTTCTGATCCTTTTTTTTTTTTTCTTCCCTAAGACAGAGTCTCACTCTGTCGCCCAGGCTGGAGTGCAGTGGCACAATCTTGGCTCACTGCAACGTCCACCTCCAGGGTTCAAGCAATTCTCCTGCCTCAGTCTCCCAAGTATCTCGGATTATAGGTTTGCACCACCGCAACCAGTTAATTTGTATATTTTTAGTAGAGACTGCGTTTCAGCATGTTGGCCAAGCTGGTCTCAAACTCCTGACCTCAGGTGACCTCACCTTGGCCTCTCAAAGTGCTGAGATTATAGATGTGAGCCACTGTGCCCAGCCTGATCCTCTGAAATAGTTTGTATAATATAGAGATTTCCTATTCCTTAAAGGTTTGCCAAAACTAGTCCGTGACATCTCTGGGCCTGCTGTTTTTATAGGAGGATAGTTTTGGCTACTATTCTAATTCTTTAGTAGTGAATGTTTAGGTTTTCCACTCCTTAAGGAGTCAATTTTGGTCACTTATATTTTTATATAAAAACATTCATTAAGCACATTTATACAAAGTTGTTTTGGCATTCTCTGAGGACTTCATCTCTGCAATTGTGTCCTCACCTTTACTGCTGTTTGTATCCTTTTTTTGAAACAGAGTTTCTCTCTTGCTGCTCAGGCTGGAGTGCAATGGCCCATCTTCGCTCACTGCAACCTCCACCTCACAGATTCTCCTGCTTCAGCCTCCCACTGTAGCTGGGATTAAAGGTGCCTGCCATTCCACCTGGCTAATTTTTTGTATTTTTAGTAGAGATGGGGTTTCACCATGTTGGCCAGGCTGGTCTCAAACTCCCGACTTCAAGTGATCCGCCTGCTTCGGCCTCCCAAAGTTCTGGGATGACAGGTGTAAGCCCCAGCACCTCCGACCTGTTTGTAGCTTTTCCTTGTTTTTCCTTATCAGTTTTAGCTGGAGGTTTGTCAATGTTACTAGTCTTTTCAAAGAGATACCTTTCCGGTTTTTTCTTTTACCATCTCTCTCCTTTTTTATTTTTGCTTCCTACTTCACAAGTCTGTTCTTGTCTTTTTCACTTCTATTTTCTTCAGAGTTTTTTCTACTATTCTTTTTCCAACTTCCTGACCTACATACTTACTCCTTTGTTTTTTGAAGTGCATTGACTACACATCTCTAAGCATCACCTTAACTGCATCCCACACAATTTGATACATAGTATTTTCACTGTCCTTTAGTTCTAAATATTTTGTCAGTTCTTTTGTGATTTCCTCTTCAGTCCATGATTTATTTTTTAAAGTTTTTTTTTTTAACTTTCCAAATATGAGATTTTTTTCCCTCCAGTATTATAATTGCTGACGACTTGTCTTATATTCAGGGAACAAAATCTAAAGGATATATTTGAAATTTGTTGACTTTAATAGATGGACTTTTACTTTTTCCTACGCTACATGGACTTGAAAAAATGTTTTTTCTTTTTTACGAGCAGGAATACATGTTACCCAAGATGAAATTCATTAACGTATCGTTCAAGTCTTCTATATCCTCACAGCTTTTTGCCTGCTCAAGTACTGGTTTCTCAGAAATGTCACAATCTCCCACTGTAACGGAGTATTTGTCTACTTCTTATATTTCTCTGTTTTGCTTTTTTAAATTCAAGACCATGTTATTAAGTACCAGTTAATGACTGTGAACAGAACGCATTCACAGAACATCTGGGTGATAAAGAGGAACAGAACGTGTCCTCTTCATCATCACAGAGCCCAGGGCCTCTAGGGGACCAAGAAAAAGGGATCGTTCCCTGCTCAGTTTCTGAAGAAATTCAAAAGCAAACAAATAACAGAATAAGGTGTTCAGAGTCAAAAGAACTCCCTTGTGATTGATGAAGACCACGTGGGAGCACATAGCTTAGTGTGCAGATGAAATGCGTCTAACACACACCAGAATGAGCCCAACTTACCCACCCAGTCACAGGCAATGCTGGCCATGGGCAATCCCCTCCCCTGGGGCTGCTCAGGTGAGACTTACTGCACAGGAGCCCACCCTCCGGGCAGCTGCATCCAAGAGGAAAGGGGGCAGGAAAAGGGCTACACATGTGAGTTCTTGCTCCCAAATACGCCAATCAGAGAGGACAAAAAAAAAACCCGGGTGTTACACAAAAGTCTTCCCCCTATGCCACAGGAAACATCAGGAGTGGGAAAGAAGTATTGCAGGTTACAAAGAAGTAGACACTCTCCCTAGTCATTTGGTCCTGAAATTCTATTTTGTCTGATATTACTATTGCTATGCCAACTTTCATGGTGAATATTTTCCCAGTGTATCTTTCCCCATTCCTTTATTTTCAATCTTTCCACACCATTTTGCTTTAGGTATGTCTCTTATGAGCAGAATATAGCTGTATTTTTAATTCAGTCTGATAGGCTGGTATTATAATAGGCTAATTTAAACTATTTATACTTACAATAGGCTAATTTAAACTATTTATACTATCATGTTTGAATTTTTTTTTTTAAGAGTCTCGCTCTATCACCTAGGCTGGAGTGCAGTGGTGCAATCTCAGCTCACTGCAACCTCTGCCTCCTGGGTTCAAGTGATTCTCCTGCCTCAGCCTCCTGAGTAGCTAGGATTATAAGCACATGCCACCACATTCAGCTAATTTTTTGTATTTTTAGTAGAGATGGTTTCACCATGTTGGCCAGGCTAGTCTCAAAACTCCTAACCTCGGGTGATCTGCCTACCTCAGCCTTGCAGAGTGCTAGGATTACAGGCATGGCCCATCATGCTGGCATGAAATTATTTCTAAATCATCATTTTATATTTTTTATTCCCTGTGTTTTCTTTCCTTTTTTTCTCTTCCTTTCCTATCTTCAATTGAATTTTTTTTCTACTTTCTTTTTGTTTTTGTTAATCCTCTTTTTATCCCCTGAT